GCCAACGGCCGGAACCGCGGAACCGTACCAGCTCCAGACTCCGCCTCTCGATACAGACTGGACAGCCAAGGTCGGAACGAAGCCATGGCCGGAGCACCCTCGCCCGCAGCTTCGCAGAGAGAATTGGCTCAATTTGAACGGCCTGTGGACCTACCGGGCCGCGAGCAGCGACGACGACGTCAACCACCCGCCGACCAGCGCCGTGCTCGATCGCGAGATTCTCATCCCCTCATGCATCGAGAGTGGATTGTCTGGGATCCAGGAGCTTGGCGTCACCCATTTCTGGCTGGCGACGACGTTCCAGGTGCCCAGCGGTTGGGGAAACCAATCGGTGATCCTCAACTTTGAAGCTGTCGACTACGAGGCGACCGTTTTCATCAATGGACAGAAGGTTGGTTTCCACCGTGGAGGGTACTTCCGCTACACGGTTGATGCGACACCTTACCTCAACGCTGGAGGAGACAACACTTTGTGAGTGCTTCTTTCCATATTTTCCTTCAATCACTTCCCAAACTAAATTTGGGGCGTTTCAGGCTGGTGTTTGTCTTTGATCCCACCGACGCGGATGGGTACGTCATCCCAATTGGCAAGCAGACGAGGACCCCTTCGCACATCTTCTACCGGTCATGCTCTGGCATCTGGCAGACAGTCTGGCTGGAAAGCACGCCGTCAACCTACGTTACCAAGCTGGACCTCTCGGCTGAGCACAACGGAAATGGTAAGAGGCGATGAGAGAGATGGTATTGCAGTTAGCGAATCTCATTGCTAATCTCTCACAGTGAATGCGCTTGTCCACAGTTCCTCCAACACCTCGTCGGAGGTTTCAATCGCTTTTCTCGACGCGGACGGCAACACGATAGGAACAGGCACCGGCAACTCTGGAACCGCGTTCAACTTCACCGTGCCATCTCCTAATGCTTGGTCTCCGACTAACCCCAACTTGTACAACATCACATTGAAGATGGGTAGCGACGAGGTCTTCAGCTACACTGGCTTCCGCACCATTTCGACCGGTATTGTGGACGGCGTCAACCGCCCGCTCCTGAACGGAGAGTTCATCTTCATGTTTGGAACCCTCGACCAGGGATACTGGCCCGATGGACTTCATACTCCCCCGAGTGTAGAGGCAATGACATATGACCTGAAGGTTCTCAAGAACATTGGAATGAACATGGTTCGCAAGCACGTATGTTCAGTCTCTATTATGTGCATTCATCTTCAAGGGTCAGAGACTAACATTTCGCAGATCAAGGTTGAGCCCGACTTGTTCTACCACGCCTGCGATACCCTCGGTCTGCTTGTCATCCAGGATATGCCAAGTCTGACAGCCAACTCGGCTCGTCTGCCCAACGCCGACCAACAAGCCGAGTTCGAGCGTCAGCTTCAGCTCATGATCGAAGAGCACAAGAGCTACACCAGCATTGTAACTTGGACCATCTACAACGAAGGCTGGGGTCAACTTAGAACACCACCCTACCCGGAGGCCAAACTTGTCGACGTTGTTCGCGGGATTGACCCCACGAGGCTCATCAACGCAAACAGTGGCTGGTTTGACCACGGATCTGGTGACTACGCTGACAACCACCACTACGCTAACCCTCAATGCGGCACGCCATTCTACTCTCTCGCCTCGCCTCCTTACGACAACAGACGCATCGGATTCCAGGGCGAGTTTGGTGGTATCGGACACAACGTCTCGATTGAGCAGTAAGTCTAACATCAAGCTCAAATTCATTAAGAAAAACTAACACGACATAGTCTCTGGAACGTTCAACAGGCAATCGACTCGATCAATGCCACTTACGAAATCAACGAAAATCTCGAAGCGTACAACTACCGCGGACGCGTTCTGCTGAGAGAGTTCCGCGAGCAAGTTGAGATGTTCGCCTGCAGCGGCGGCGTCTGGACACAGACAACCGACGTCGAGGGTGAAGTGAACGGCCTGGTCACCTACGATCGCCGCGTTCTCCGACCCGACCTTGCGCAATGGCAGGTCGATATCAAGGCTCTCTTTGACGCTGCGAAGGCCCGGAGCGGTCCCGTCAATGGTACAATGTAAGCAGTGATGGCTACACATTGGTTTTTCCTTTCACTTCTCTTCTTTCACACCAACTTATTCGCAACAAAGTTTTCGGGAGATCTAGTAATGCTAAGCGTGGGATACCATAATGAATAGTCCGATCAGGGACGAGGGTCAAATAAGATTCGTTCAATCTGATTCCTGAACCGCATAATGACCGACGATACGACTATTTCGTTTTGAGTTTGTTCGTACAACAGTGAAGCGTCCTGTTGTAGCGCATTGGATACAGCGCGTGATGTCGACAGTCATAAGCTCAGGCAGGAACTTGTGCCGGTAAGCTATCCATCGGGACGAAGACGCTGGCGTTTTGTACGAGGCGGCAATAGCATGCCCCATTGCTGTTGCCGTGAGCAGTCGCCGTCGCGTTGACATGTAAAAGCCGGGAGACGAAGCAGATTCTGCTGGGCGGGATTCGTGGTTCGTAATGCTGTTGATGGCACACTGCATTTAAGGCCGGCGTTGTAGACTGGGATAATTTGCATATAGAACAGGCTGGTCTGGCACCGGCAAGGTTTGAAAGATTATGAGGTTGATGCCAGAAGGCATTTGGTATGTGATCTTGTGTCCGTCTTTGGTTTGAGTACCCTTCCGACCATGAAGATGTTCCCGAGTACCAGGTTCCCGGTGATACACTACGCACCTGTGTAAATCGGCATGTCGACACAGTCTTATAGGTCGCGCATAGCGATTGAACGCCTCAGCGTTGTTGGCTGTGGTTCAAAGCTATGGCGATAAATCAGCTGCATGTACTCCGTAAGGTACTAGTTGCCTTGGGGAGTGACCCGTAATACGCTAGAGACTTTCTGCGACTGACTGATGGAGTTGCTGTGGAGGCTGTCATACCGCCTACTTACATGAACTTTGCCATGAAACACTGGCTGTTGTCACCGTCTGATTGAGTGCACACCTCGAAGTTGTAAAGCTAGCTGAGAAGTTTCAGAGAGCAATTCCCGCCTCGCCGAGGCCTTTTGTAGGGAACAGAGCTTTGCTTTGAAGAGGAACGGATGGTTTGATTGTGTCTTCATCTTGTTCGACCCACGGACACCTTAGCCCGAAGGTTAATAAACAATCGCAGGTCAAATCTTGAGCGCAATTGTGGGGGCGAAATAAAACCGAGTCGTGATACACTAAAATACGAAAACTCAAAGGCTCTGTGAGCCGGTGACTTGTCAAAACTCAGCAGAAATCACATGTAGGCAGGCGGAATCAAGCCTGGCCGGTGGGCGTGGCTGGCATATAAATCATTTAATGCTCCCATTCACGCTTGGTGGAGAATACATTCATCGTGGCTTCAGTTGCTTAATAGTCTCAACACTCTTTTTTCAAAATGGCTCCTCTTTCGCTCTTTTACTCGTCGCTCCTTTTCTCCATTGCGCTCGGTGCGCCCGCCGCCTCCAGTGGCTCAAACCTGGGGAGAGATCTTTCTCTCGTTCAATCATTGAAACACAAGATTACCGTCGACCCTTCCGGTGCCACCAAGAACTGGACTGGAAACGACGTTTGCAAGTTTGACGGCTTCAGCTGCGCCAAGAACCCCAACACCGGAACCAACGCCTTGTCAGGGATCGATCTCAATGGATTCGGTCTTGAGGGCAAGGACTTGGTCCTCGATGGCTTCCTCGACAAGCTGACCGATCTCACCTTCTTCCACGCCAACAGCAACGGCTTCACGGGATCGCTCCCCAAGGATCTTTCGGCCCTCAAGTGGCTGTGGGAAATCGATGTCAGCAACAACAAGCTTTCTGGACCCTTCCCGACGGGTGTCTTTGACCTCGACCTGACCCTCCTTGATCTGCGTTTCAACGAGTTCTCCGGCCCAATCCCGAAGGAGACTTTTAACCTCGACCTCGAGGTCCTTTTCTTGAACGACAACAAGTTCTCGGGCAGCATTCCTAGCAACGTTGGCTCTTCACCTGTCATCTACTTGACTTTGGCCAACAACAAGCTCAATGGATCCATGCCTAAGAGCATTGGAAACATGAAGAACGTCCAGGAGATTGTCCTTCTTGGCAACGACCTGTCTGGTTCGCTGCCCAGAGACTACGCCATCAAGAACCTCACTGTCTTTGACGCCAGCGACAACAAGCTGTCTGGATCCGTTCCCGAGGGACTGTGCAAGCTCGACACTCTGGGAGTCTTGAACCTTACCAGTAACAACTTCAGCGGAACACTGGGACCGGCCTGCACTGCTCTGCTGAAGAACCACGTTCTTGACGTTACCAACAACTGCATTCAGGGTGTTCAGGGCCAGAAGCCCGCTAGCCAGTGCAATCACTAATTTAAATGATTGGAAAATGTCTACAATATTGTAATCTGTGGTTTACTGTCTAAACATATGTCATGAGCTTACAGAAAGTTTCATTCTACTCTTAGCCACAGATGATATTATTGCATAATACCCCTACGATTTTTCCGTGCCCAGCGACTAGTTGAACCGTAAACGTTTGTGTGACAGTGATAGATGACAACAATTGTCGAACGCATTCGGGATTCCTACTGGTATTCTGCGTGACATGACCAGACCTAGACTACAGCACACCGAAGAGTTTCCTAAATCAGTAGCCCCCGCAGGAAGTCAGGGATCGCATTTCCCCAATAGCTCCCCGCTTCACAATCCGGAGTCGAGTGCTGCTGCCGAGATGCAAGCTACCATCGGCTCCACGGGCCGGCGTCGGCCCCGCTACCCCACGATGTCCGATCCCCGCAATGTTCAGCCCCTTTTGGTGCTGTCTGAGACCGCGTTTGTCACTAAGAGCAGGAAGCTCGGTGATAGCATCAAGTCAGAGAGCGAGAGCGAGACTGACTTCGTTGTCATCGATATGTAGACTTGCTATAAGTTGATGATCTGTCCATTCTTTCAGAGGGCTCAAAACATCTGCTGACGACATCCCGAAAGCTCCAGTCCTATTCTCCATTGGTTGTTACCCAGTAAGATTTTCAAGATATGGCTGGTGTCGAAGTTCTCAAGGCCGAGCTGGCAAAGACCCAGAGACTGGGAAAGTTCATCAAAGGTGAGATTCTGCAAGTTACTGTGCCAAGCTTTCCCTGGTCTCAAAGGGCCTCGATTTTCTGCGAGGCACTCACTGATGTCACTCTCAGCTTGGGACCCCAAAATTCTGGGCGCCAAGGATGCCAATCCTCGTACCGTCACCGACGAACATATCCTCTCAGACATGGATGTTGCAATCCCGGTCAGAGATGGAACCATTCTGCGCGGCAACATCTACCGGCCTCGTCACCTTGAAGGCCAGAAGCTTCCCGTGATCTTCAACTACAGCGTCTATAGCAAAGACGGCGCTACCGAAATTGCAGTTTTCCCACCTAGTGCAGGGTTGGACAAAGCTCGAATCACTAAAGACTACGAGTTCGAAGCAGCGGATCCGGGATGGTGGTGTCCTCGCGGGTACATCGTTGTCAGCATAGACGCCAGAGGCTGTTTCCAGTCTGAAGGTGACAAGAGTTACTATTCTCGAGATGTTGGAATTGATGGTGAGTAATTTCCCCGACTCCCTCGGAATCCTTTACTACATGCACCTTTTGAATTAGATGCATCGCACCTCTTTTGTAAATGTTGAAGAATGTTGCTAAGATGACGCACTTCGACAGGTTATGATCTTGTTGAATGGCTTGCAAAGCAGAGTTGGTCAAATGGCAAGATTGCCTTATATGGAGCTAGTGGATCTGCAATGGTGCTATGGCTCGTGGCAGCAGAGCAACCTCCTTCGCTTGCGGTATGAGCAATCTTGAATCCTTTTCAGTCCTGCCTTGAATTGCTAACATTCGAATACGAAGGCCATTGTTCCCATCGATGGTATGACTGATCTTTACCGCGAAATGGCCCTGAAGGGCGGAGTCCCCGAAACACAGTTCGGTGCCGTGTGAGTTCCTCCCTTCCAGTGAAAATCTACCTGAACTTCTGAAGGGTGGAACTGATGGGGATATGGAGAAAGCTATCCAAACTTCTTCAACGGGGGGAAGAATCTCGTCGAGGATACGACGGACGGGCCTAAGACGCACCCATACTTTGATGAGTACTGGAAAAGCAAGATACCAGCTCTTACTCAAATCAAGGCCCCAGCCTACATTATTTGTGGATGGGGTGACCACGCTATCTATACCCGCGGGGCACTCAATGCTTGGGCAAAGATCGCCTCTCAGGAGAAGTATCTCGAGATTCATCAATACCAAAAGTGAGTATCTTCTGTTGCCTGTAGCTAAGGTAGCATCGTTAACCTTCGCTATGTGTTCTAGATGGGAATGGTCGGTCACTGAGGAATCATTGAGCCGCCAAAAGGCTTTCCTAGACCATTTTCTGCTGGGACTACCGACTGAAGTCCAGTATTGGCCCAAAGTTCGCTACACCATGAGAGAACGCTACTACACTGGGGAATGGCGATACAGTGACGAATTTCCCATTCCCGAAACTCAGTATACGCAATACTTCCCGACTTCAAGTCTCGGCTTGAGCAAGATTCCCCAACGCGTGGAAAGCCATACCTCGTACGACGCGAGTGAGGGTGAAGTCGCTTTTGAGCTTCCTTTTCGGAACTCCTTTGAGTTTGCAGGCCATTCCAAGCTCAGACTCTGGGTTGAAGTGACAGATGGTGGCGATAATCTGGATCTATTCATCACTCTACGAAAGAAGGACAGAGATGGAAAAGACGTGTACTTTCCCATGATCGCAGTCGTCGATACCGGTCCCATTGGGTTTGGGTGGCTTAGAGCCTCTCGACGCGAGCTCGACGAGAAGGCCTCGACACCATGGAAGCCAGTCCATCTTCATCGAAGAGATCTTGAGCCTTTGAAAGCTGGAGACGTGGTGCCTGTGGAGATTGAGATACAGCCGACTAGCTGTCGATTCCGGGCAGGGGAGCGACTCAGCCTGGTAGTTTCTGGGCACGACTACGGCAAGTACCCGCCAGGTGCCCCCATCCCCAGGCACAGTTCGACAGTCAACAAAGGTAGTCATGTTATTCATTACGGGGGAAAATACGACTCGCATTTGCTGTTGCCCGTTGTCCCACCGGTCAAGGAAGCGTATAGCCAAAAGAGGCCCCTTGTCAAGATGACCATTGCCTGCAGACGGATCCCCGGGTGGTCCGAAGACAAGTTTCTAGAGGAATATACCGGCGTCCATGCTGGTATGACGAAGCATATCTCCGACGTGGTTCCCATCCTCCGTAACTACACTCAGGTCGTCGCACTCCCTCATTCCAGTGTCCCCGGTATTCCAAACGGGGGTCTGGAACCTTGGGACGCCGTCACGACGCTGGGATGGACGTCATTGAAAAGTATTTGGGGCTCGTTCCAAGCTCCCGAATACAAAGCCTCTGCTGGCAAGCACGAATTCGCGGATACTTCATCGCAGACTGGTATTCTCAGTCAATGTTTCGCTGAGGCTTTGTTTGACTCGATTCTCTTTGAGAAGCGTGGAACCAAAGCAGCTATGCTGTTAGTCTTCCTAGCAAAGTCTCAGGACGCAACCCTTGCCGAAGACGACCTCACTAGCCGAGCAGCGTCTATCACAGAGGTCGGAGCTGGCACGGCTTTGATGAGATATGTTCTCAATCGGGAAGTCACTCCTGAGGATACTGACAGCTTCTTCGCCGGAACGCCTTTTGCTACTTCAGACTGGTCTACCATGGGTGCTTTCGAGCAGTACTGGTTCCCGGACCGAGACTCCGTAGCGAGTTTCCTTAGCGATGAGGACAGACTCAAGGCCCTCTTCAAGACTATGCCACAGTCGTTTAACAAGCAGAAGTCTTTTGCGGTGATTGGGGATGAGAATATTGTGGTGAAGAAGGATCTGGAGTTCTAGCGGTACTTTATCTTAAGGCACCTCCAATTTCAAGAATTGAATCACAAGTGATCTGCAAAACCTCTTGAGAACTTGACATGGTGATAGAGGAAAGCCTCCAAAGATCTGATATATCTAAAATTGCCACCTAGCTATACAAGAGCTACCTGCCAGCAATGAAGAGATCTCTTCTACCAAAAGCCAGGCAGGAAAGCCTGAAGCAAAATATTGTCAATCATCGCGTTCCTCGATTTGATTTCCATTGCGCTCTTATAACCAGGCTCACAGCTAAACCTAGAGACCAGCCTGACTTCTGCGACAACATCCGTACGCTCTCTTGTAGTAAGCGGTCGGATGCTCGTTTTTCACCCAAATCCCCGATACCTGCTACATACAGCCGGAATCCGGGCTCTCCAGAGAGCCACTCATCTAAGTTATTTTGACCATTTAGTTTGTCAAGGCGAAGAGTCCTCCAAGAGCCTGTTTGGTGACAATCGAAAAGAGTATGAATCCACATGGAGAGTGTAGCACACAGCAGGGCATTAACCTCATGGTGCCCAGGTGTAGAATGGTTCCGAATATGGGAAAACAACCTTGCGGCGTGGTAGATGATGATTCTCGCCTTTCCCTGGTTTTGGTGGAGCCACATGCGAAGCCTCCGGTCTGCAGCCTCTCGAACTTCACTACTAACACCCCAGCCTGAGAACGCAGTTAGTACTCGTAGAGGCATATGTATAAGGAGGCTGAAAGCGTGGTTATGCTGGAGTGCAATCCTGTCAATGTCGTCGGTCGGAAGCTGAGCGTTTTCACCGCCTCGCAGAATCGCTAGGTAGCGCATAGTGTCTTGATTGTTTGTCGAGTCTCGGTATAAGGCGAGAGTGAGAAAGAGCCTGTTCAAGCTACTCAGTCCTTCTGGGACCTTTTCATCACACCGAAAACGCGTAAGATATTCTTGAAGAAGCCTACTATTGACCAAGTCTGCGCAATTAGTAGTCGGCTGGTTTCGACTTTTCGGGGGGTTGCTCACATGGTGATCTTGAAGCTTGATCGGCCCATGATTCTGCAGAATCTGATCTCCAAAGTATGTCTTCACATGGCAGTGGAAGTAGTAGAAGATCTGTTGGTATGGTTGGAGGCAAGTCAAAGAACAAGCCCAGCTGACCGTCCAACATCTTAAGATTACAGTAGTTGCGACGTCAGCGTTCCCGTGCCCACATGCTTGAGGCAGAATATGAAGACTTACCCATGATAGATGTACAAGCCTTCTCTTGCTTTCCATGCGAATCCATCTCTGCCAATTCGCTGGTTGCGGTGTAAAGTCGACAGAATGTGACGGGGCTTCGCTAAAGAAGCCTGCTCGTCGGCAAAGTGTTGCAAGTAAAGACATGTTTCTTTGGGCGTGTTCAGTGAAAGACATGCTTCCAGAAAACATCAAGCCGATCTGACTGAGTAAAACGGACTGTGTCAGATACAGTTCCGAAGACGGGTCCGGTTCGGGATCAAGGTCTAGCTAGACAGGTTGTCAGATTTTCATTGCGTTGCATGTAACAATGAACTTGAGAGCGAACCTACACAAAGATTGATCGAGCGCCTCAAAAGTTCTTGCAAGAGGAAAGAATCACTCAGTGTGCCAAACTTCGAGAACCCGCACCCCGTCGCCGCGACCGCGAGAAGGAGAATCCAATGAACTCGTTCTGGGTCGAAGGTTTGTTGATGGAGGAAAGGCCATACTGGGTGGTAAAGTTCGAAATGAGATTGTATGAAGACATCGATAGCTTCTTTACTTGGAAATGGCTTATCCGTAAATGCTTTGCAATAGTCTGTGTCTGCATTCAGCTTCTCAAACTGAGTTTCGAGGATCGAGTAAGCGTGTGGGCTTAAGGTCGGAACATGACCGTAGTCTTCGATATCCCAGTCCTGCTCATTTTCATCGATACCTTCACTAATGAATGAAGTATCTGCAACTCGACTGATATCTTCAAGGCCTTGGGTGACGAAGTGCTTTTTTCGTCGGCTTCGACTTTGTTCTGCCTCTGTGGAGTCACCATAATCCCGACTGAAAGCTGATGGTCGCTCAAAGGCATTTGCAAAAGTGGAAGAAAGTTGGGAGTGATTGGTAAAAATTGCTCGCGGTGTATCCTCTGATAATAGAGAAGTAGGTGTAGGTTTTTGAACAGCTGTTTCTAGCACAGCTCCATCCACTTCTGCACCCATGGAATCTATATCGATCGTTCGACTCTGTTCTGCCCTTTCGTCAGATGTCTGATCTGAGATAAGCTGAGCCCGCAAAACTCTTTCGCCGGCCATGGAAGTGACCCTGGCGCTTTGTTGTGTCGTCAACTCATTGCTCAGGAAGTCATCCCAGCTCAGCCATGCATTAGTTGCCGAATATGGAAAGCACCATTGGCTTGGCGTGCACAAGAGCGGATCCAGCTCCAATTGGAGTCCATCTTGAGTCCAGAGAGCAGCTTGGAAATCATCTCTGACATCTGGGACTGACGCTTGGGACGCATATTCCTGTAAGGCATGGAATGGAGTTTCCGGAAACTACGAGCATGTGTCAGCATACCCGCGATTGTTCCTGCCTTCACACAGAGCTTTAAGGTAATTACCCGAGATGAAGTTGCAAGGTCGTGGCCACTTACAGCTTCGCTTCTGTCGATTATTGCGGTTTGGTTGAGGGCAACCGGGGAAGAGGACTCCGGGGGTGCTTCCGCAGTATCAAATTCTCGAGCCTCCTGTTCATTTGAGGAATCGGTGTTTCGTTGGTTGTCAGTTGTATAAACGCAAGACCGATTCTTGGATTGACATCTAGCGCAGGGGTTGCCCCCGTCACAACGCTGCTTCGAGCGGGCACAATGTCGGCAGGCTTTAGAAACACAAGATCTGCGGGCCCTCTTTGGCGTATCGGAGCCTGATGGTGGAGAATTAACCTCTGCATGACTTTGCATGTGGCGCTGAAGTGAGTCTCTGTCGAGTCTGAAGATCAGCTAATTGATACGGCGAGTATCTCAACATTAGGGCCCGATTCCACATCCAGCGACCAGGCAGTCTACAAGCTTCGTATGGCTCAAGATCTCTTACCTTCGGGCAAAGCTGGCGGCACATGTCGGACATGCAAAAGGGCGTATGCCGAGATGGCGGAGAACGTGGCGGTTGAGATGTTCCGCACGCCGGAACTCGGCCTGACAGATGTCACATTTCAGAGCCATAATTTCGCTTCAACCCCATCGGAAGCAGGGCCAGTAGAACGCAGACGTATTCTATTACTGCTCCGATGTGGTATGGAATTGTCGCCGATGCATGGAGGCTGGTGTCGTCGGAGAGTGTGGGTGGGGTAGTTACAACAAAGAGCTTGATGTTTTCGGAGGCTGCGGGGGACTTCCTATATACCCCTCTCGGAACAGGGAATCGTGGAGACAGAGTTTGTGGGGGCGGCATCTAACATTGATGCATGAGGCGGCCCGAGTCAACTACCGACGTGTCAGATCCCGATTTGGCAGACAGAAAGAAACGGCTTCTGTCAATTGTCCGTCGCCGATGTGCGGTGTAGGTAGCAATAGGAATAGTGTTGCGGTAGACCATCCACGGAGGATGCACCCTAACCAAGTCTGTAAAACACGCTAACCCCCATGTCACGGGTACGGCGATGGTTGACTACTACCTGTCTACGCCATCTGTACGCGAAGACACCCCAGGTACAGCTTTACTAAGCGGTTTGAACCCAAGTAGAGTAGGTTCTAGTTGATGGAGAGAGTGGTTAAGTGAGAGTATCTTACTCTGGGCGCCAAGACATGCAGCTCCGCCGCTCTAGAGTACATACTTGGACCCATCTGATGTAAATGTACCGATTGTAAAGGCGACTGAGGATGCCATACGTTCGTTTAAATACGTCACGAATTCTCTTTTATTCCTTCACTAAGTCACTCTATCCTGCTCCAACAAGTTGAACATTCGAACACTTTCAGTAAAACTACCTGATCACGCATCTCAACTGGAAGACTCACCCACCGCGCTACTCTTCGATCATGGCCACCGATTTCTCCAAGCTGGGAAGACTCACCTCTTCACCAGCGACGACCGAATGGGATATCATCGTCGTGGGATCCGGTCATAATGGCTTGACCGCAGCCGCCTACCTCGCAGCAGCTGGAAAGAAAGTTCTCGTTCTGGAGAAGGCTTCCTACCCAGGAGGTGGTGTAGCTAGTCTCCAGATGGCCGAGCCCGGGTTTATCAGCGAACGTCACAGTGCCATTCACCAAATGATCCTCGCGAATCCCATGATCACTCACGATGAGCTTGGTCTGCAGTCTCGATACGGTCTTGTGTACAAGCAGCTAGACCCGTGCTACGCCATAGTCATGGAAGACAAAGTCCTACCCATCTACCGAGAGCGCCACAGAACCGTCAATGCAATTCGACCATTTTCGGCAGAAGATGCTGACGCCTACAACGTCTTTGTGGACAAATCTCGCCAAATCACCGAGCTTTTGATACCTTCCATGTTCGAGCCTCCCCGCGACATGTCAGCGGATATTGCTAGCAGCCCGTCAGCTGAGGAAATCGCCATTGCATCAACCAGCTCCTCTCTGGATATCATCCAGAGGTACTTTAAAAGCGAGGTTCTCCAAGTGGCGTTGCTGAGATTCGTAACTGAAATCCAGCTTGCCCACCCCAAATCAACCGGCACTGGCTTGATGGCCTACCTGGCTTTTGGACTTCTTGACATCTATGGGCTTTGCGTCCCCGAGGGCACCGGATCTGCATGGACAGAGTCTGTCATCCGGTGTCTCAGGGACCACGGTGGCGACGTCAAATTGGATACGGAAGTCATCAAGATCATCACTGAAGGCGGACGTGCTGTTGGAGTGAGAACTCGCTTTGGAGAGCTGAGAGCGAGAGAGGCCGTCATCGGACAGATTCATCCTCATAACCTTGGATATCTCGTCGACGGAATCGATCCGTCAGTAACGAAAGCGGCCTCAAACACCCGCGTTTCTGACTTCAGTCTTCTCGTCATCCACGCCGCCCTCGAACGCCCGCTCAAGTTCAAAGCGGGCCCGATTGCCGACAAAACTGTCATGAACACTTGCTGCCCAGGCAACCTCAAAGATCTCATCCAGAGCTACGATGAGATGAACCAGGGCATCCTCCCGGAAAACATCATGATCGGTTCTTCTTGCATTAGCTCAGGTGACAAAAGCCGGTGCCCACCGGGCAAGTCGCTGCTGCACTGTGTCGTGATGTGTAAGGCAGAGCCTGCTGACGGCGGCTGGGCCGCTTGGGATCGCATCAAGGACGACTGGGCGCAGAGAGTTTTCAAGTACTTTTCCAAGTACCTGGAAAACTTTACTCCCGACATCGTTCGCTCTTATCATGTTGTTACTCCTTCGGATCATCAGTCCGACAGCGCGAGTTTCCAGCGTGGCGACATTGCTGGTCTTTCAATGGCAGCGGACCAGATGGGAGTTAACCGGCCTACGCCTGCCCTCGCTCAGTACCGTGTGCCTGGCATTGAGGGTCTTTACCTTGCCGGGCCTTTCATGCATCCGGGTGGAGGAGTCTGGGGCGGTGGCCGTCCAGTAGCTAAGAGGGTGCTGGAGGATCTGGGGATTGACTTTGACAAGAAGTTTGTGCAAAGCAGCTCGCGACTGTGAAACTGACCTAAAGAGGGCTGAATCGCAGCACGCTGAAAAACATCGTGAGGCACTTGCACATCGTGAAGGCTTCTAGGGCTCAAGCAGCAAGTTGAAGTAGTCGACAAACTGCAATTTATGTTCACATATCTCTACAATCCTCAATCGTTCAAGTCATTTCTTCATTCCATTAGTGTCATTACGAAATTTTGGGAAGAGTCTTGAATTCGTAACACGTTCTATGGTCTCTACCGCGTCTAAGAGATTTCCCTAACTTGCTGGCAGCAGCTTCGGTGCACTGCCAATTTTGAACCGCTTTCTTCCCATTGGCTCTACGTTCCTGCGAAGAACTGCGCAAAATCCACAGCGATTGATCTCTACGATGACAGCTTCCGTTATCAAGGTTGTCGTAACCGGTAGTTAAGACTCTGGGATTTCTTAATTTGTACAACAATCTCACATTTCAGGACTATCAGGGGAGTAAAAGCATCTACCGTGTGCTGAGCTGTGTACACAGCCGTTTCATGGCAACCTCGCGATATCAAGGATGTTACTTGTTGACTCAATTCGTTTCCCATGGGTTCATGCAGCATACTTAGCCTTATCCCATCGAGTGCTGACTGACGCCATTTTTGCCAAGGGCGGGGTAGAGCCAATTAGGGGTTGGAAATCTATAGAGTTAACCAATAGGGTTACAGTACCTCTATTGCCTATATATTCTGCGTATGCCAAAGGTACCAACAATTCCCCTGGGTACATAAAGGTACGTTACAGTCTAAGCAGCCCTTCCTCGTATATTTACGCCGCGTGAGGGTATTCCCAGATATCTCGCCTAGAGTCTGGCGGTTTCTTATTGCCCTCAGATTACTACAATAAGAGCAAGGCGAATTAACCTTCCGTGACCCTTTTGTATGCTGTTCCCATGGAATAGAGGTATTCCTCTTGTCTGTACGTCTAGGTCGTGATAGTCTACGCCCGCCTGCTAATGGTCCAAACCGTTGAATAAGCTGGGCTGCTAGTAACTGCCGCCATTGATAGTTGGATTCCACCTTCTGCCACCTAGGGCTACCCCAGAGCTGTAATAAGAAGCTATTCACAACTACTACTTCCAGCAGGAAATTCCAGGCTAGGGACTGCCAGCCCCCTCGCCGAATAGGGTGACCGTATTGATAATAAGACCTCATCTGGTCACTCACATCAACCCCATTCATCTTGTGGTTGTATTCGTCGATTGCCCTAGGGACTGGAAGGTCCTTGCGGACGTCTGGGCCAAACACTTGCCGGCAGCCCCCGGACCTCTTGGGCCCGGGCTGGTACTTCAAAGGGCCGGAAGGAGCCCGGAGGGCCATGCTCGGTAGTCGGAGGTTCACAGGGCCGGACTGTGGCTTCGTCACAGCCGTCTGGCTTACAAGCTGTATTACAAGCAGCAGCTAGGTCTTCTGGGTAGACCTCAACTACTATAGTGCTGAGTACAGGAGTAACAGAAGTTTTAGAAGCAATAGAGGTATTGGAAGCAATAGAGGTATCAGAATCACTAGAAGACATTGCAGCATCAATTGAAATGCTAGTAATAGTAGTGATAACAGGTAAAAGAGCATAGTGGTAAATGTTGTATCGTCAATGTACCCCTTTAAATGCGGGGTAATAAAGTGTAAATAGTGGGGGTTTGGGGCTTGGCAAAATGGCGTCAGTCAGCACTGGATGGGATAGTAGATCACAAATCACGAATGAACCTCTGCGAGTCGAAACCTTGTTCGTCTGTTTATTAGCTCCCCGTGGCTCCCCACCTTACTCGTCCTCATCCCGGGGCGCGTCGAATCCGACCTAAAACATCCCTCGATGGTTCAGATGAAACTCCTTGCGAGAAAACCTTCATGATAAAACTACCATCATCTAGACCGTTCGTGAGGGAGAAAAATAAGCTTTAATACAGTGGTCAGCCACCCTCTACTGCAGACCCCCTCTGCGCTGATACAGAGCGAGTGAATCAAGAGAAATATGGTCTTGGAACCTCCGTTCCCTTTACCAGTGACCCCGTCTCACCATCCTATCTAGCTCGTCTAACGGTGTGAATCGAGCCATCAACAGCAATTGAGATGGAATTAATCTTCCACTTTCAGCGCGCTTTGACGCTAGCCCTTGTCCTACTCTTTAGTGGTGTTCAGTGTCTACCTGGGCCCATGCCACAGCAGACAGGTGGAGAGTCTCCGGCAGACAAAGCAAATAAGATTCCTCAGGGTATTATGCCGGCGAAAGACGGTTCAATCATGCTTGATGCTACAGAGACAATCAAGTGAGTGAAGCTTCAACCAAATCTGCTGTCCGCTTCAATGAAGCAAGCGCTAAAATTTGAGCTAGCAACTTGAAAATCCGCTTCCGCATCAGTGGTCCTGCAGGAGAATTTACAACGGCAAGCAAGGTACCCGGAGGCGGCAAGACAACAGGTGCGAAGGGCAACCTCGGGCTTCACGTCTTGTTACACGGCGATAGCGGCTCTTCTTTCTTCGACATGCCCAACCAAGGCGTAAAGAACAATTTGGCGGGAGTCACAGTACTCTCCCCGGACAGGAACCTCCACTGGGGAGGCGGTTCCGGATTTAATCGCACAGACGGCGTTGCGCACGCTCAAGCAGTCAATGATCTGGTTTTCCAAACCCTGCCAAAGTATATGGCTTTCAACTCCTCGAATGTCTTCTTTTCTGGAATCTCAGGCGGTTCTCTTCTGCTTTCTGGATACTTCATGCCAGCGCACATGGGCAACTTCGCTGGGAACGGGGTGATGCTGGGCTGCGGTGCGATGGAGCCCCGCGTTGAAGTATCGCAGTCCTCTCGTGACACTCTTATGAATACTCGACTCCACTATCAGAGCACTCAAAATGAGCTTCAACACCTACAAGGATCGATCTCCGCTACCATGAAGGCGTACGAGAAAGTTGTCAAAGACAAGGGCATGAAGACGGAAGCGATCAACAAGCTTCAGACAGCCAACAATAAGCCAGTGGGAGGTCACTGTCAGTTTGATGAGAAGGGTTTTGGATCAGGAATACAGCTCATTGCCGACAACTATGCCGCGATTATGCAAGGAGGAAATGGCGAGGTGCCAGGTATTGGAAATGTTTTGAAAGGTGTTTCCGGCCAGGAATTGAAGTTTTCAGGGGGAGGTGCCCCGTGAACTACAGACTCATGCAATGTGTTCAGGATATGGATAATAAGAGTAGTGCCCATGAAAATGACCCTTCACAAATTTCGATCGACTTCCTAGTTTTCTACCACCTTTTGGCCAACACGATCATGTGAAATGTTGTCGCAAAAACAACGCCGTTAATTGCTGCCATCGATTAACGCCATATATACCCTACGGCAAATGTGCAACGTCTGCTTTTTTCTTTTTTCTCTCACAGAGGAGTTGGGTGAATTGTAGCAAAATGCTACAATAACGGTGATTAGAGAAGGAAAGACGTCGCGAGCATAAAGAGTGAGGATCATCTGTATTTTCGAATCCATGAAATAGTAGATCTTTCATTACTGAATTGTAATGTTGGAAGGCAATGTCAAGTTAAACCCAAAGGGTTCCAGCCGAAGACGAACCGACATTTGTTGCTCCAGTCCATCTAGTTTGTCAGGTGACGTATCTCGCCATGAGCCCAACCATTCGTGTTGGTCCAGGTATTGCGAAATCTTCCACCATTTCTCGAAAATTGTGTCCTACAAGTTCCCAGTTCCACATCTGGTTTCTATCATAACCTGACCATTCCCTGTGCCTCGTGTGAGGTCCCAGCATGGATTCTGGCTCTACATTGATGTAAACAGAAGAGTGCTTTTGGCGAAGCTCCTGCTTGATAAGTGGGAACCATGTTAGGACATCTGCAATAATCTCCATGGATCCCAGACTACTCCTTTCGGACATCTTGCTGCGCCGAAAGCTTTCAAATGCTTGAAACCAATCTTCTTGAATCTCCAAACAAGATCGTAGTCCGAAAAGGGACTCTTCCTCGTATTCGATTGAATGGGCCGTAGCAAACACAAGATCGCTTGTGACATCCGCCCATTCCTGAAAGCCCTTTAATACCTCTTCAACTGAAAGCAAAAGATTGTCCGCGCCAAGGGAACTTTTGCCGCGTTGTCTCGTTCTGGGCAACAGCGACCATAACAGAGTTGAGATAGCCTTGGGAGACCTCAGTATACAGCCTTTGTACAAGAAGGCCTGGCGAGGGCTACCATCTCGCTCGCGTCCCAAGGTGATGCGCTGTGCCTCAGTTATGCCACGTAGTAGTAGCGCAATGCCACGCTCATCTTCAAGGTAAGGCTTGAGTTTAACTTCGTGTTGCTTCCATATCTTCCAAAGACGGATTTTTGAGTCGTCCCCATGGCGGTTGATGTACGTTGCAAGTTTCAACAAGAGTGATTTTGCTGGCAATTCCGACATTCGCGCCACGCAATTATCTTCAATCATCAGCCTAAACTCTTCTATAAGATTCTTCTTTTGCTTTTCAGGTTCTGTGGAGTCACTCTGTGTGAAAGGCTTAAAGCTCATGTCTTTGCTTTGAGGGGTTTCGGGGTTCTCAAATACTAAATCACAAGCACACAAAGGATGATAAGTTGAAGTAGGACAGATCGGCCTTAACACCGCATATCCATTGACTCCATGAAGCCAGAAAATTCCATCCTGTTGTTGAATGTGCTGAGAGATATCAATCTCTTTGGTAGTATCTGGGAACATTGGCGATGGTTTTGGGAAAAGCAAGCTGGCTTTCATTTTCGGTTCGTGCTTGGATCCATGCCGAACGAATGGCTGTCGGTATTCGAATTGGCCTTTTTCAGTGAAGAACTCGCGAAGATTGCATATCTCGATCGCTGTGACCTTCAAATGCCCGCTCCGCGACATAATACGGATGTCGTAGGGAGAGAGTGGTAGCAATGTGAGAGATCCCATGTTGTGGAACTCTGCCGCTTTGCCGCCACCTGTGCTTTCGTCCATCCAGAGCCTCTCGAAGTCGGCCGGAATGCCCCTGTTTTCACAAAACGGCACTAGTATATCTGGGACCCAAGATGGCAGAGTGACTCGCCGAGCTCGGTTCGCACCTGCGAAGACTAACACAGCCTTACCGAGGCCACATCTCTGCGTCAAATATGCTGCAATGCCAATGCTAACTTCTTCCACGGTAAGCCTGTAATCTGGAAAGACTGGCCACCTATTCCATCGCCACACCAAGCCGAGCAGAGCGAATACTTTGTCGCGTGGATCCTTGCATAAGCAATTACAGGTATCCATCATGAGTTTGAGAAAATTTGGTAGAGGACGCGTTGTAGCACTCTGCCATGTTGTTATCCAAGAATGCAGATCGTGGTAAATTGAACTCAGCATCTCCGAGGAAGGCCACCGAGTTGACTTCGAACCGCAGTAGAGCGTCAGTGTCCTACTCAAAACAACTTCCTGTACCACCCACAGTCTCCGGAAGTATGGTCGGTCGAGAAGCACCCGGATAGGTAGTTCGCAATCTGCACAAGCTTTTCTCTCGCCTCTTCGATGACCGCAATCACCACGGGACGTTGAGTTGAGAATGGCACTGAGCGCTTTGTCGCTGTCGTCAGTGGCCGGCCCAAGGTATGCCAAAACGCCGGTGGCAGTATCGTATATTCGTGACATAAGAGCGACCTGTGCATTTCGCTCCTCGTCGTCATCCTGGTTGATGCAAAGTGAATCCGCCCAAATAGACCGAGAGCTTCTATCCAGTCGAACGGTACGAAGGGCATCTTCGCAATTGCGGGTGATGGGAATGACATCCCAATAGGATCCAATAAACATCGGTCTGCATCGGTGAGACTCTCCAGACGAATCGGCCCAAGTATAGGAAAGGGCCTCGTACGTCGCTCTCTCCGAATCCAATCGGACGTTCCGGAAGTTTGCATGCAGAAGACTATCGCTGTTCCCCGGTTCTAGTTCGAGTATTCTTATTTCTTCGTCGCTGCATAGAATCGTGTAGCACCTTGAAGGCTGATATGGCTCATCACCGACCAAGAGTCGTCTCCGTTTCAGTGGCCGCTCATCGGTGGTCGTGGGATCCTTCGAAGATGCGCTTGGCTTTTTAGAGGAGACGTTTGGTCGACAAGAACTTGCTTTCCTTCCAGAAGGAATTTTTGGGCCGGGGCATAAGCTAGTAGACGTAGTTGGGGGGATTCCAGGCTCAGAGTCGAGATAATCGACGCATGCTGGCCATCGAAGGTTGTGCGTGGAGTCATTCTCGAGAACAGGGGCTTGTGGTATCCGCAAAGTAGTTTCGAACTGAACGTCGTCAGTTGATGCTACGGCGTAGCAAGATTGACAACACGGTAGGCCACTGCAAACCACAACATCAGGGCGGCCGCAACCGCGTTCATGCCATCTAGACATGGAGTTCGTTCATCACACAAAAGCAGTCAAGGTGCAAGTACTCCGTAGGAAGAATAGAATCATCACTCAGCTTTATATTCAATTGTCTCAGTCCAGTGGGGGGGCGACCGGCACTTATTATGCAACCAGCCTTGGAGCCTGATCCGCCAGCTGCAAGGATCACATCGCCAAGGGTGCAAACTATCGTCATAATGTCCGGGGCTGTGCAACGTAGATTGGCGGTATTGTGGAAGGGCTGTTCTTCTATTCGCCGTGGCGGCAAGTAGGTAAGCTGCATGCTACTTGACCTTCAGAACGCCTCGCTGCACCGCCTCACAAACCTGCCGTGGAAATTGAAGTGTAATAACTACAAATGGCCCACTTTCTTTTGGACATCATTGTTCACCATTTGAAGTTCGAAAGAGGTATCATTATTTCAAGACAGCTAGTCTACGTTTCCCATCCTTCACGCGTGGAAGCGTCTGATAGCATGGGCAGTCTGGTTACCCTTGTAACCCTCAGTATCAAGAACAGCAACGCTAAGTTCAGAAAGGCTGAAAGTAAAGACACCATCGGCGTTGGCAGTCACAGTGGTTGTGTTGCTAGCAACAGTAGTCTCGCCTCCGTTGAGGGGATCGTTGTGCGCAAACGGGTCGCCGCTGGGGTTCGTCAGGACAGTCAAGGAGGCAGTGGTGCCAGCAGTGACGCCCTCAAACGCGAGATTGATGTCAACATCAGCACTGTCGGTGGTGTTATACACGGCACCCTTCCAGATGAAGCTGCCCTTGGCCTCGTTCTTGCCAGCGACCCAGTACGCGGGGCCGAACTCGCCGACTGTGGGCAGGGTGTGCGACAGCGGGTGCGCGGCGAAGAGCTCCCAGACGAACCAACTGGTGGAGCGCGTTGTCAGCGCGGAGTCGGCGGCGAACTGGACAATAGTAACGGCCCATTGCCAGCGGTTCATGTTGCGGAGGACGGGAGCGTAGAAAGTTCCCGGGATGCGGTCGGCGTTGCGCTCGTAGCCGATGAGGGAGACGGCCTCACCGACGGTACCGATCCACCAAGGGAAAGGCATCAGGTCGCCGTCCCAGCCGGTACCGCCGTTGGGGTGCGTGGCAGCGACCTCGCCGACAATGTGGCCAATGTCGTTGTCGAAGCGGTCAAACTCGTCGACGAGGGCGTCGGGGGTGCGGTAAGGGTGGTAGTCGCCAATGCCAGGGGCGGGAATCTCGAAGCCGTCGCCGTCGGTAGTGGCGCCGGAGGAGATGACGGTGATGTCGGGGTACTTGGCCTTGATAGCCTCCATGAACATGGGGAAGCGGTACTCTTTGTAAGAGGTCCAACCGCCCGGGTATCCGGCGAGCCAATCCTCGTTGCCAATCTCGACGTATTCGAGCGTAAAGGGCTCCGGGTGGCCGAGCTCGGCGCGGCGGGCACCCCACTTGGAGTCGACGGGGCCGCGGATGAACTCGATCTGGTCGAGGGCGTCGTCGATGAAGGGCTGGAGGTCTTGCTTTGCGGTCACGTCACCGTTAAGGGCGAGGCCAGCCCAGACGCCGATGACGACGTCCAGACCCATGTCAAGTGCCCACTCGAGGTATTCTACGAGACCGAGGCCGTGGGTTTGCTGGTAGCCCCAGACACCCTGGAAACCGGGGCGGTTCTTGAGGGGGCCAAGGGTGTCCTTCCAGTCCCAGTAGGTTCCGTTGTTCAGACCCTCGAGCATGTTGCCGCCGGGGAAGCGAAGCAAGCTCTGTCTACTTGTTAGGGATGTTTAATCAATGTAGGGGATCGGGGAAGGTGTTTACAGGGTGAAGTCCGGCCAGAGCCTCGGCGACATCAACACGAAGACCATTCTTGCGGCCCTTGTAGGTAGGAGGGAAGAGACTGATCAAGTTGAAGTCCAGCGAACCGTCGGCAGCGCTCTGCGAGTGAGTCGTCAGCAAAGTGATTCAGCTTAGATTTATGCAGGAGTTCCCTACCGCAAGATCAAAGGTAATGGCAAACGTGTTGTTGCTGTTGGGAGCATCCTTCTCAGGAGTGAGCTCAACCTCGTGCTCAACCCACTCGTCGGCAGAGGCCTTGGACTCAATCTCAACTGAGCCAAAGACGTCCTCGTTGAGAGCAGACTTGAGGCTGGCGGTGAAGACACCGTCGTACGAGCCCTTGACCCAGAAAGAGCCAGTGTACTTCTGCACCTTGACGTCCATGCCCCAGTAGCCATCGTTTTCGAAGCCGATGGCGCCGGAGCCGTTGCCTCCGGCAACATTGACGGAGACGGGGAGCGCGGCGGAGAGGGGCTCGGTGAGGTTCTTGAGAGTGAGCTTGGCGCCGTTGATGGCGTGCCAGGCGTCGAGGGAGACGGGGAATCTGGGGCTGAATTGGAAGGCTCGGTTGCGGATCAGCTCGGCGTACATGCCACCGTCACCAGAGTTGTTGATGTCCTTGAGATTGCAGACGTTAGATGAAGGACTTGAGCACCGGATGGCATTGGGATACAAACCTCGTGAAGGAAACCGTACTGGTGACCACTGGTGGCGTTGCCGCCGGATGCCTTGATGGAGACATCGACAGCAGCAGCCGAAACGGCATAAGTAGCGGCCAGGATGGCCGACTTGAGCGACACCATTTTGCTTCCCTATTGCTTGGGGTTGAGGTTGCAATGACGCGAGGGTGCCAAACAAGAGGAACCATCAAGTCCACCAAGGAGGGGCATCATCTTTATAAGGAAACTCGAGCTGTGCAGCTACATGGTGAGCTGATCACCACGGAACTCAATGGACCGGGGAAAATGTTGCCATACTTGCGTAGCATCGCATGCGAAGCGGGTGGAGGAAGAACATGTGCTCACTTCGCCCGGATAGACAGGGCCATTGGGAAAGATCGTCTCGTAATGAACCGGCGTTCCTGATGTGCCTGACCACCCCGCATTCTGCTTAGATTGCATGTTACCCGGCGCGAACGTCTTTGCCCAGACGGCAGAACCCACATCGTGAGCGTCGCATGTCGGTGGCTTCAGGCCCGAGAACGAGTGGTCTTGGCAAATATTTTGCCCCGCGGGCTCTACGGATACCAGGGGGCCTCTTTGCTTCGGCTCGGTTGATATTTCGCGTCTTCATCTGCGAGCACTGAAAGCGCAAGGGTCTGGGGCCCGGAGCAGAAACAGCAGCAGCGCGGATTGGATGTTTGCTTCAAAAGTCATGAACAGCACCGTTACATCGGGCGCGCACCAGTTGATATGAAGCTTCGCGCGCGAACGCGAAAGCAGACAACGTTATTTCCCCCTGCGAGCTTCCCCTCCTCCGCTGATGTGGGGAAACACCTGGGAGACCTGGGCAGAACTTTTGACTTCTTGAGATGAAAATGAGGGGAAGTTGGAGAAAGAGGGAGCGGTCCGCGGCCTCGTCTAGGATATCCCCCGGATCCACCCTCGTCATCTACCGGTTTCCGAGCGAGGCGGCGACGGCCTCTCATTCGAGCGCATCAACAACAATATCGGGGCTCTCTTTTTACCGCCAAACAGAATGTGTATGCCCCATGTTGTGCCTGGCGCTAGAGGAGAGCATGGCATGCATCATGACTTGATCATGGTGTCTTCGGGTTTGTGATCTCCTGAAGCCGATAGGGGATCAAGTTGATTACCTTACATATAGTAACACCCCGCAGAAAATTCCAAGCTCTTGCGATCGGGTTGGATCGCTTCGATGCGAGATGCAGCATGTCTGGGCGTTCGTTTGGTTGCCAATGTGCCGTTTCTTTTGACTTGTCACAAGCCTGCAAGGGCAAATAGGTCTCCCACTGTCCCTACTCCCAACGTGGATGCTTACCAGTCTGACATCATTGGGACACTCTAACTCCTTCTCCATCCTCAACTCCGCCAGTGATGCGGAGACTGATTGTCTGCCTTACATGTCGTTTAAACCGTCTAACAGTAACGGGGAAAGAATATATCCGCTCGGGAGAAGCCGGAGACACGCCATTGCTAGCACTACCCGCTTGCGCAGGAACATGGAGAATGGCATTGAGTGGATCGATGGACAGGATACATCGATCCGGATAGAAAGTTCTTACCAAGTGCTCCTTGCCTTCAAGTATCCCATCGAGTGCTGCTTGACGCCATTTTTGCCAAGCCCCCAAATACCCACTATTTACCCATTATTACCCCGCATTCGAAGGGGTACTTAACAATACGTCACTTACCCTGTGTTCTTTTGCCTATTACTACTACTATTACTTCCAGTTTGATTGATCCTGTGATGTCTTCTGGTGATTCTGATACGTCTATTGCATCCAATGCTTCTGTTACTTCTATACGCAGCTGCATAGTAGTTGAGGTCCTTCCAGAAGACCTTACTGCTGCCTGTAACACAGATTGTACGCCCGAGCGCTGTGACGCAGCGACAGTCCGGCCCCGCGAACCTCCGGCTACTGAGCATGGTCTTCCGGGCTCCTTCCGGCCCTTTGACGTACCGGCCCGGGCCCAAGAGGTACAGGGGCTGCCGGCAAGCCCGCTTGAACTATTCCTCCAATACGTTCCGCAGAGCCTCGTAGAGCAGTGGGCACAGTGGACGAATGCGGCGCCCTTGTCTAAGGAGGGCCCTAGGGCCAGAACCTCTAGAGCGAATAAGTGGAGGAAGACTTCAGCCGACGGGATCTACCTCTTTTTAGGGATCCTATTATATAGGGATCTATAGGGAATCTAAATTATCAACCTACTGGTTAACCCAGCAGGAGAGGGAGGATCCCATCCACCTATTTACGCGGTTTATACCCCGGGACCGTTTTCAACTACTACTCCAGCGACTACGGATATTTAACACTGCTGAATTCCGGCCCAGCCAGCCAGCCCAGCCTAGCCAGCCCAGCCAGGGCCGGGGCCGGGGCCAAGATCAAATGCCAGATGTATACCGGAAGGTTAACCAGTGGTCAGCCCACATCCAAGAGACTGGGGATTCTCTTTATATACCTGGTTCAGACCTTACAGTCGACGAGGCTATGGTCCGATTTACAGGTCGATCTCTTGAGACAACAACGAGTCCAACGAAACCTATCCCAACTGGCTATAAGATCTGGATCCTTGCCCAGTCTGGCTACTGTATACGGTGGCTGTGGCACGTACATGGAAAGGGCCCATACGCATTAGTCCCCCAGGCCCAGCCTGCCCAGCCCAGCCCAGGCCGGTTGGCTAGGCCTGCTGGGCTAGCTGCTGGAAAGCTGGCTCTGTTGACACCAACGCAGCAGGTAGTAACTACCCTTATTTCCCTACTTCCAGCTGCAACCTACCACGTATTTCTTGACAACCTCTTCGCCTCTATACGTCTCTTTCGTACCCTGAGGAATCAACAGATTGGAGCTTCTGGTACCTGCCGGAAGAATAGTGGGATAGATGAGATCTTAGTTGCTGAGAAAGAGACTGAAGGACGGGGTATCCCCTGGGGCGAAATACACTGTGTCTCTACTTTAGATGGGGAGGTAAGCTGCCAGCCCGCCCAGCCCTGCTCAGCCCAGCTAACTAGGAACTAGGTCAATCAATTCACCTGGAAGGATAATGCCCTCGTACTCTTCCTGTCAACTGTCTTCCAGGACGGCCAGGAAGTTATTCGCAACCGCCGCCGCTCAGCGGGGGATACTGCTGCTAAAAAGGCTGCCCGGCAAGTGTTTGGCCCAGACGTCCGTAAGGACCTTCTAGTGCCTAGGGCAATCGATGAGTACAATCATAAGATGAATGGGGTTGATGTGAGTGACCAGATGAGGTCCTACTATCAATACAGCCACCTTATTCGACGAGGAGGTTGGCAGTCAATTGCTTGGAACTTTCTACTAGAAGTGGTAGTTGTGAATAGCTTTTTACTACAGCTCTGGGGCAGCCCTAGGTGGCAGAAGGTAAAGACCCACTACCGCCGGCGGCAACTGCTTGCAGCACAGCTTATCCAGCAGTTTGGACCATTAGCACAAGGGCGGCAGAGGTCACGGCCTAGACAGGCTGTAGATAAAAGGAATACCTCCATCCCATGGGGACACCATATAAAGGGGTCACGGAAGGTTAATTCCCCTTGTTCTTATTGCAGTAATATAAAGGTATTAAGGGCCCGCCAGACGCTAGGTAAAATATCTGGGAATAGCGTTACATAACCGCGTAGATACACGAGGAAGGGCTTCTTAGACTATAACGTACCCTTATGTATTCAAGGGGATTGTTGGTACCTCTGGCATACGCAGAATATATAGGCCATTTAGGTACTATAACCCTATTGGTTAACTCAATAGATTCACAACCCCTGATTGGCTCTACCCCGCCCTTGGCAAAAATGGCGTCAAGCAGCACTCGATGGGATACAACAGTTGTCCCCAAGAGAAAGCATGCGTGTTGGTATTCCTTTCACAGGGAATTTGGTTCGAACCGTAGGGTCCTGGGGGTGACGAAGTATCAATATCTCTGTATTGATTGATTCTGCGTAAGGAGTAGAAGGGAGATTCCAACCGGAGGTTGGGTGGGTAGTCGAGGTCTAAGTGTACCACCTCGAGGTGGCCCATGCTCTGCCCCTACTCGCGGCCGAATAGGACTTCCAATCCGACAATGCGATCGAGACGCTCCTTCATAAGTTGAGCTACGTCACCCACATCAAGGTTCACGGGGGATTCATCTTTCCTCTTCCACCAAGGACTCAATTACATTCATTGACCCACGGTAGGGCGAAGCCGAGTAGAGCCAATCTCGTAAGAAATTCCGTTCCTCGCACATAGCTCTAGCTCTATCTCGCGACTAGCCAAATATTACTAGTTTTTCTACGCAAGAAATTGGTACAGAAGAATTAAGAAAACTTCTTTACTCACCTGAAGATGAAAGGTTTGAACTCGAAGCCTGGTAAGTATATGGCCTCTATGTGGGGACTCAACGTGAGATCATGAGTATTAAACCATCGGTAGGTTTCTTGGGTTTTGGAAGGATGCAGAGTTGTCCAGGGTTGCATGCTCTTTTATGTGCGGACAGAGTGCAAGTATGTAGATGCGTGTTCATTGATGTTGAAGATGAAGTTCATGATCCTGTAGACAACGTCGTCTCGTCGACCAGCCACGATGCCAAGCATGCGGTCTTGAAGCTTAACAGCCCGGGACTCATGACTACAGTCAAGGCTCACGTCTTTGAAGACCAGTTCATTTGGTCTGAAACGTTGACTACGGACATCTTGGACAATCTTCTCACCAACGACCATGGCCCAAGCTGACAGACTAGAGCAACGTGGCGCACAACTAAGACCGTACGCAGTTAGCGAGAAGGTCCAGCCCGTCCAGGCGGTGCGCCCAAAGTTGCGTTGAGGCTGCAAGACACTGTCAGCATCTAGACCACGTCGGGATAAGCGCCATTCCCGCCCCCAAGGGATTGAGCTGCCGGCTCCCCAAGGGGGGAATCCGAGGAGGGAGAGGAGAAACATGATTGCAGTCGAATTCGCAGAGCCTCCCTTTCACTTCAACTCGTAATGATCTCATAGTCTGTGCACACAAACAACAAACAATATCTCAACGGCGAGCGAACACGACTCAAGCAGTGCTTCACCAGAATATCAAACTCGAGAAAGCGACTCCACCGCATACCGCACACTGCAGTCCTATACGGAGACAAGATGTCGGTATCAGCTTATCTCGCCGCTTTCGGCAAGGAATCGCCAGCAACATACGCCCTCGGTACCGGGCTCCTCGTCACATCATCACTCTTCTTTGGAAACATCGGCCTGACTCTCACCGGGCCCCTTCCCATCATCAGAGATCAGCTTGGCGCATGCACTTTGAGCTCCAAGCAAAAGATCAAAGTATGGAGGCTCTTCTTCGACGAAGCTTCTGTGAGTGATCCCCTCCTTGCCTCGTCACCAAGCTGTCATCTCGAGCAGATGAGATGGCAGAGCCCCGTGATAGCATCATGAAGGACTGATTAGTATTGACGCCTTGCGCCAGAAATACATCATCGGCGGCACCGCCGTGACAGCAACGCTTCACCTGGCTGCCTTCGCCCTGGGCAACTCACCCGTTTCCCGCAGACTGTCCATCATGTCGGCGATTTGCAGCATTTGCATCTTGCCGTACACTCTCATCGTCATCATGCCCACCAACAACAGCCTCATCGCCCTAGACGACAAAGTGGCTCTGTCGGAGCTGGACAGGAAAAAGGTCGGGTGGCTGATCGAGAAATGGGATCGGCTGCACAAGGTCCGCTTCGTGATGTACGGATGCGCATGGGCCTTGGGTCTTGCTGCATTCACGTCTTCGTTGTGAGCTGGATCTTTATGGGAGTGCTTGGTTGTTGAGAAAGCTTGGCTGGTCGTGGCTTTTCTTTTGTTCTTGTTTTTCTGAATGGGTTGTAGGTTTGTTGATCTGCGATGGCTCAGCCTAATGTCCCATATGTAATGTTAAATTGGATATGAGTAAACACGGTGAGCTTGATAATTACTGTCTGACCAGGACGAGCCATTTCGCCCGCCAGACCAGAGTGAAGCCAAAGTATAAGTCATAGCTTGAGAAGGAAAAGTACGACAGGGAACCCTGACGACTGCTCTTGAAATGGCCCAGCAACTGAGTTTATGACAAATTCAGGAGCCATCGTGGTTACTTAAGCTTGATAATAAGCAAGAATCCGTGGCCTATCAGGTACAAGGTGCATGTGATGAAACTCCAAGGTCTCATGGCAAGAAAGCTTCCACGGAATGTAGACCCGATGTGACCTGGAACACGTGCTTCTTCTCTGTCGTGAAAGTTTTGGGGGAATGAACCTTGCCCCAATTTCTGGAAAGAGTCCGAGTCTCCGGACTCCGTGAAAAGTTTGGCGGCAACTGCACATCACCACTCCATGAGCCGATCGCCGTTGGCCGATCATACCGTGGTGATCCGCAGGTTGTTTCCCCGGCATATTGTGCCGTGGCTCTCATCCCAGTAGCCTGCTATTTCAAAGTCTGAACAGGCCGTTTCTGCTGTGAGATGTGACCGATCATTGGCAACGCTATCCCAGCATCGGGTATCAGCGTTATGATTCATCGGTCGAGTCTGACAGTAGCAGGGAGTTGTGGATTTGATGGCTATTATTCGAGACTGAGACTAAGTGACTAAGTTATTCGACGTTGGACTGTACTCGGTTGTTCGCGTACGGAATCAGGATGGGACAGCTGTTGACCGAAACAAGAAGATTTTCCTTTTGTGCGACAACCCCAATGCCATCATCATCCATCCCTCTCCAGAATCCAATCCCGGAAGATATGAGTCTATATGGCCCATCCATGCGCCTGCCGCCCAACTGAACTCCAAATAGACTTTACCAAATCATTTCCAGAAGCAGAAAAGCCCAGCGCTTGTTCAATCGGGGTCTACCTTCCTCCTCTTCGTCTCAACTCTATGACAATTCAGGGATTCTGGTGCCGAACAGGCGGTCACCAACAGCATGTCGGACGTTCCCGCTACTGTGGTCCCAGACAATGGCTCCCCAATCTGTCATGGACGTGTCATAGAACCGAGGCTGAAGTGTTCAGCCATTGAAACGGCCCTGGGCCCTGTTATCAAGTCTCTAAGCCATTCGAATTGCCTTCCGTAATTTCGATGGAAGTAAGAAAGAAAACGTCAGGAACTCTACAAGGCCAAAATCGCCACCGTAAACGTCGCGATCAGTACCGCGAGTCTCAGTCCAGCACCAGAGATGCCCTCAGCAGCCGCGCTCTTGCCAGCACCAGGCAATCCGGTGTTATTCTGGCTCTGCCTGAACAGAGGATCCATCGTAGCGTTCTTCGTGACAGGCACCTGGGATCCGGCAACGCAGAACTGCGTGGGATTGCTCCACGTGGCATCGACGACGCGCTTCCACGCGTTCTCGGGCTTGAAGAGCATCTCGCGGCTGTAGAAGATGCGGCAGTTGGCCGGCTCCCAGAGGAACTGCAGCGGCGTCCGGGCATCGGACATACTGTACGCGTTCTTAGCGTTGATGGCGCCGGCACTCTTGGGTGTTGTCGCGCGCTTGATGGCGTATCCCTTGGCCAGCTCGCCGAGCTCCCCGTTCATGATCTCTTCCTTCTTATCCTTGGGGGTGAGGGCGATGATGGCCTTGGCGTCGGTGGTCATGTCGTTGAAGGCGAAGACCTGGGCGCCTTCGACACCAGCGATGGACTGCATGATGCCGGCCTGGGGACGACCGCCAATGACGGTGGTCTTGATGCCCATTTGGAGGATCATCAGGTAGGAGAAGATAGTGCAGGTTGAGCCACAGGTGCCGTCGGTGAAGAGGACCACGTTCTCCGGGTCAAAAACACGAGGGGGTGGGTTGGCTTTGCTGCCGACGCCAGTGAGGTTGAATGTGGGGTCGGTCTGGTTGAGAGGGGCCTGCTGGTATGCGGTGAAGGTGTCTCCATTGAGTGAGACAGGGGCCAGAATCTGGTCAACGGTCGTGAAGGCGGCTTCATCGGGAGTGTAGACACCTCCGGGCAACAGGTTGCTGACGATGGAGCTGCCGCTCAGGGCTTCAATGGCGTCCTTCTCCTCGGGCGTGGTGGCCGTGAAGTTGGCGGGGATGGCGGCGGAGAGACGAGCGAGGTTGGTAAGGCCTTCGGACAGACGTAGGTTGTTGGCCTGGAAGCGGTTGACCTCAGGGAACAGCTGTCATGTCGAGTTAGTACTGTACGCTGGAGGATACGCGGATGTGACATACCTGGGCGAATAGTTCGTATCCAGCGACGACAAAACCACCACCGTTGGCAGCAACATCAATGACGAGACGCTTCTTTCCGGCATCCTTGCTCTTGTTCAAGAACGTGGCGACGGTGTTTTGGAAGTTGGTCAAGTACTCAGTGGCATCGATGGAATCGGGAGGAGCGAAAGACGAGACAGCAAGCACAGCAACGTCCTCGTACCCAGTTCCGTTCAGGAAGTAACCAGAAGTGGTGTTGGCACCGCTGTCACGGACAATCGGGAAGGGATATCCCTCGATCGTCGGGTTAGGCGGCGACGGCGGGCCAGAAGTCTTTGGCGGGGTCGGCGTCGTCTGGTTGGGCTTCATGCCGGGCTGCGACGGCTGAGGCTTGGCGGGCATGTCGGGATTGCAGAACTTGTTGTAGTAGTCCTCGCCGCTGTTGACGCCAGTGAAGTTTGCGCCGGTGCGGATGAGGGCGAAGCTGTCCTCGGAGCGCTCCTCGCCGTTGTCGTAGGTGATTGTCACCTTGGGACCCTGGAAGGCGAGGGAGGCGGCGACAACGATGAAGCTCTCCTTTGAGGCGTACGACTTGAAGTTGGCGTTCCATTGCGAGTCGGGGTCCTGGTAACCGCTGAACTTGAGGTTCAGGTCCGAGATCATGGTGGCGGCATCTCTGCCGTTGATCCTGACAATGGCGGGGGCGGTGGAGTTGCCATCAAGCTGGGCTGTTATGGGATGTCAGTATCTGACCAAACGAATTCCAATGGGTAACTCTGGGACTCACCAAGATGATACAGCTTAGGCACTTCAACACCATCACGCGAGACCGACACAATATCGGCAGCGAGGTTGTTGCGGAAGCTGAAGCCCTTGAACACATCGCCGCGGAAGGCAAAGTGACCGTCGTGAGCCGAAGCAATCAGCTGGAAAACAGCAAGCTGGAACTCGTACTCGCTCGTGTACGAGCCGGCCTCTGACTTCTTCTCAATCTCGTCAAGACCGCCCTCGATATCGGTAGGCGGCAGCATGTACGACGCCGGCGGGTTCTTGAGCCATGACAGCGTAGACTGCCATTGGACATAGGCCTTCAAACTCTTGATGAGGTCCTTGGCCGGGCCTTTCTTGTTCGGCACCGTCTGGAGGCAGTCAAAGGCCAATTGAGCCGGGACTTGGGGTGTTGCTGTTGTTGGAGTAGACTTTTGTTAGCGGATTTTGTTTTGCTTCGCTTTACACCATGACGTCCAACATTTTTTTCAGAGGATCTTGGAGAACCTCTAGCGTTCCCCGCCGTAATAGCTGCCATCTTCCACCCCAACATAACAAGCTCTTCCACTAACGTACCTTTCGGGCTCGCCATGAGGAATTGTTGGACCTTGGGCTGAATCTGAGCGCATGCTTGACCGTTGCCGCTAGGAACCGTTCCATTGGGAGCGCTGGGCGTTGTCGGTGTTCCGCTGCTCGTGGGAGTTGGCGTTTGTCCCGGGGCCTGGGGAGCCGGCGCCGCCAACACAACGGCGGCCGAGGCCAAAGTCCACCAAGTGAATCTCATCTTGATCGTATCTCGCGAGGTCTTCTTCCCTTTTTTCTCTCTCTGTACGACTCTCTTCCTCGTCTACTTCAAACGCGCCCTCTAACTCTTCTTAAAAGAAATTGAAAAAAAACGGATAGCACAGCTATCGGCGAGGCCAGCTCAAAGTCTCGAGACCGAGACGGGCACTGAAAGGAAGGGAAATAATGGGGCTGGAATCAATTCGCCGAAGCCTGAAAAGAAGGCTCACACATGAAAGGCGCCGGCGGGATCGACGAGTATATGGTGTTTTAAGAGTTGCATTGTCCTCTTCTCTCCTTTGCCTTCTGGACCAGTTTCCGTGGTCGAAAGGTAACTCGCGAAATAGGCCGGGTCTCGCTCATTCGCTCTCGTTATTCCCTTGGCGGCGGGCGTTCTGTGTCTCTTGCGGCGCGCTGTTACCCCCATGCCCACACACGTCCCAAGTTTGTGCTCCCAAATCATGAAGCCATCATGAAACAAGACAACCCTCACATCTTCAGATAAGCATCCGCGCATCCTGGGGGGCCCGACGCTGCAAGATTTAAACTCGGACATCATGCAAGGTCACCCCCCTCTACGACCCTCTTACAACTTAGGAATAGGCCAGATCTGTGCACCAAGGTAAATACAGAAGAGGCTTAGTGCAGGCCCCTCCCGAGGCTATACAGCTAGAGTGCGGCGACATTTCAGAAGGGCCGTCTTGTTGCTTGGCGGTTGATTGGGTTGACGTTTCGGTGCAAATCGGGAGAATTCTGTCTCTGTCTGAAGTTCCAAGACAGGCCATCCTCGACAACACACATGACACAAGATATCGATGAGTGATACTCGCGCCGGCTATCTACCGGGCTGGGCGTCTGAGGCTTGAAGACTGAGCAGATCTACTGTGTTTTGTGCTGTGGCCTCTTTTCGGTGCCTTTCCTCCGTCTCTTCCATTCCTCCCGTGCTCCCCCCCCTCATCCCACCCTCTTTCATCCCTCCAGAGTCCAAAGCCTCAATGTCCTTGTCCCAAGATACTCACATCACATCCGTATCAGCCCGGCCACTCCCATCCCCCCGCCGCCGGTCAAGCTTCTCGTCGCCTCACCCTTGGCGAGATTCTTGGCAGCCCTACCCTGCTGTAGCAGATCCCACCGGAGGAAACACATTCCGCACCAGTCACGCTCAACCACTGACTCTGGGCAAAGCCAGATCTTGTGTTGCATACAGGCAAGGAACCCGACTCGCGTGCTTGTCTCCTGGACCATGGACCTTGACCATGATCCATCTGTCTCGGTGACGCCCGGCGCTAGCTCGGGTCGAACCCCACGGGTCCTCCAAGCCAGTAAACAGCCCTAAACACCTTTAAACTCACCTTTCGCTCCGTGGATTAAAACAGAATAAGGGGACCCCCCACGGCCATACTCGATTTGAAATGGCCCGTCCGGTCCATTGTCCACCCACTTACCCCAGGGACTCTGTCTTCTGCGCGGAAGCCTGTGAAGAAGGAGAATCAACGCGCACGGATAAGAGTCCCAAGCCAAGCTGAGGCGGGCAGTTCTTAACAGAACGATGAAAAAGTCATGTCCCTGACCCAAATCTGGTCACGATGGTTTTACCATTTCCGCTTGCCTTATTCACTTGACTCCTTTCTGTTGATCAACAACCCCTCTTTCCCCCAACTAAAGCTTCGTTAAAAAAGGGTAAGCCGGCGAAACTCTAGATGCATCGTATGATAAGGTAGCGACCGGGGAACCGATCATGTACGCCAAGCGGGATGTTTGTCGATCGAAGCTTCACTTTCTTATCCAAATTCTATGGTCAGCCCCGCGGTATACGGAAACCGTGGAATGCGGATAATCAAAAGCCAATTCGATAATTCATCGCTAGGTACGAGAACGACAAATAACTCTTGTTAGTCAGGAGACAGACAGCCAAGTAATCAACAAACGAGCTTGGCGAGCCTCTCGAACGCTCGCTCCCTCACTCAAATCAAGCACGGGTATCTCAGCATCCGCCACTCTGTCCAGAGTCCCAAAGTCCAAACACCGCCTCAGCCGTCTCTTCCGCGGACCGGTAAAACACACCAGTAAACTCCCCTCCTTCTCCCTCCTCTTCCACTTGCCGCCCCCTCGCCCGAACTATCTTACCGTCCGTTTTGACGTCGGCCGTACCTTATCCCTTCCCTGTCCATCCATGCAATGCGTCCTTCATCCCCCCCTCTCTCTGTCTCTCTCTCTCTCTCTGAAGCCAGCCCGCCTCAGACGATGACACCCAAGGCCTCCATTCCCAGTATTCCCATGGCCAAACTCAATCCAGCCCCCGCAGCAGCAACGCCTACTAGACCTGGACCAGTGCACCGCGCCGCGGCGACGCCTCCCGTGCTAGAGCTGGGAGGTGCTACCCCGCCCGTCGCCGTCCTCCCGGCCCCGTTACCGTTTCCGCCGCCGGATACCGGACAGCTGGTCGTGCAAGGCAGAGCTGAAACAAACGGCGTCGGCGCTGTAGTCCCCGTCTCTACCGTCCCCGTGACCGTGAACACGGGCGACTGTGAAACGGCCGTCACATTCGGGGCAACGTTGGGCGCGTCTACGTTGAGTACCGCGTCAATCATCTGCACCACGCCGTTGGCAATCAGGATGTTCGTCTGGATGAGCCGCGCCGAGTTGACAAAGATGTCGTTGCTGAATAACGTGATATCCAAGCTCTTGTTCCCGCTAGCAGCAGTCGCAAACTTGGTCCCGTTCGTCAATGAGGAAGCTTGCGCCACCCGCGAGGGTACCAAGTGGTACTGCAATACGCGGCGCAGCGCCTCCTTACTCATACCCGAAAGTGTGCCGGCAACCTGCTGAAAGGCAGCGTTTCTCGGCGCGAAAATAGTAACGTTCGGCGTCTCGGCGAAGTCGGCTACGAGGTCTGCGGTGTACAGCGCGCCGAGAAATGCCGTCAGGTCCTGGTAGGCGTCGCGGGCGGTCGTCTCGAGGCGCGCGGGCGTGACCATGAGGCTGTCGATGATCTGCACGAAACCGCCATCAAAGGGGACGTCAGTCTCGAGGACTGTTGTTCGGGATGCGACGCCCGATGTGATGACCACATCGTCGTTGGGCTGTTTTGTGACGAGGACGGTTTGGCCGCCCGTCACGTTGGAGAAGCGCGTGTCGGTGAGGAGGGTGGAGAGGATGCTCGAGTGGCCTGGGGAGAAGGCGTTGAAGCCGACTTTGGTGTCGATGATGCCGTATTGCAGGGCGATGGCGATGGCGTCCTTGTCTGTGTCCCAGCCTTGGCCTTTGAGGTATGCTGAGTCACTGGGGGCGAGGATCTAGCATCTTTTGTCAGTCTGGTCTTTGCTTGCGTTATGCATTACAGTCAAGGCTTCTTGACGTCTACGCGTTGCTGAAGTGCCATGTTCCATACGGATGGATTGCATCAAAAGTCTTTCTTCTGAATGATCTGAAAATGAGACATGAGAGCGAGAAAGGGCAAAGCTTACCGTAACGCCGGATTTGGGCAACTTCGAGAAGATGTCTGCGTGGTCCTGCGCCGAGAGTTGTCAGCTGTGATTGCACTGAATGCGAATGAGGTACAATCAAGTCTAGAGTCTACATCACAAGTTCGCCAAGGCACCGAGGTCCGATCGTTGTTGCGCATGCAACGCGCAAGAGACATATGTCTCGGACGTGGACCCGCGGACGAAGGTGTGTTGAAGATCTGAGCGTTGTACTATTCACATCTCTTCTTACCTTGACCAGTTCACGGAACGTTGTCAGGTTTGCTTGTTTGCTGAGTACTTCTTCTAAACTCTGGGGTGCGACTGTGGGTATGCCTGACACTACCAATGCGACGGTAGCCCAAAGGGCGTTTGTTGATGGCCTCATCGTCGGAAACGTTTCGCGTGCTTGTCTGAGAGGGACTTGAATCCGGAGTCTTCGAGTAGAAGATCAAAGGCTGAGAATCTGAAGGATATTTATTTAGAAAAGAGGCGATGGCGGTGCAGTCATAAGCGTCTATTTCGTGCTCGGCACATCTAGCAAAGAGCACACACAAATGTCGGTAAACGAGTGTTTGCGAAATCAATGGATCAATAGATGAAAGAAAAAAAAGAAGGTCTGACAGAAACCTCCGAGCGTTGGACAGGATGCAGATGACATTTTGAAGGGCAACTAGTCAACTCTTCATTCTCTTCTCAACCTTCCCAATTCGCAATCACGCATCCCGCATCTAGGCGGCGACGCGGGCCTGGACCCCCTGGTTGAAGCAACGGCACAGGGTCGCAATGCAGCATGGCAAGATGATCGCGGCCCTTTCGCTGGCGGACATTTCGTGGCTTCGTTCAGCGCGACCCTGACACCACTTTCGAGCAATCAAACACCAGCTTCATAACTTTCTAAGCTTCTCAGCTCTTTCCCCGGGTCGAAATTGGCTTCAAGGAGCTGACTAGTTCAAAGTGTAGCCAATCCGGGGATGGCGTGAACTCTCGCGACTTTGCAGAATCGTGGGAAAACGTGGTGAAAGGTGATGAAAGGAAGCTTTGGACGCGGCGTGGACAGGTGCAATTAAACTTGAAGGGCTGAGAGCCTGAGAGAGATGGCCAAAGAGGGAACGGCGGCGCATTCGTTTGCTGCGCTGCCACGCTGGTCAGCTTTTAGCGTCATGTTCTTGTGCCTGGACTAGGACCAAGAGGGTGCATCGCGCGTCTGTAGACGAACCGGGGTGTCTGGGGTCCTCTAGGCTCTGGGGAAAGGTCATTCGTTCAGAACTTCCAATGAGACCAGCCGAATGGCACGCAAGATTAAGCCGAGCTGGATGCCACTACGAGTCTGTGCCTGAATGATGGGCTTGGAACGGCGCGGGAGATCTTCATTGTGCGGGCGGAATGTGGGCAGTTCATGTCCAAAGCAAATTATGGATGAGGGAACTCCGTCAATCCAATTACTCGGTCCCCTTGAAGTATAATGGTCGATAGTACACAGTTGACTCCCAAAGCCATGACCTGGATGTTTGAGCTGTCAACCAGGATGTTCTGAGTAAGAACCACAACCAGATCACCAGGCTATCCGTCAGGCCCTGGGTGTGTTCGAGGTATTTTCGGGGCCTCGAAACTGTTCAAAGACCAGGGGGCGCAAATCGGCGGCACGGCTCAGCTGCCAAGCCCATACCCTGCATCTGATTGATGATTGCATATCAGGCTGCAACAAAAGGTGACTGGAATCGGCCACGACCGGGTTCACGACGAAAAGTTACCGGTTCTGCGGATGCTACCGTCCTTTGCGATATTCTAGGCAACTTTCTACCTTCTCCGAGTTCTACAATTGTCGGCCCCGCTTTATCGGCGGACCCGACCCCGTTCCCCGGCACTGCACCTGCCGCGTGGGTCCCGGTTGTCAGCTTCGGTGGGTTCCCTTGCTAAATAGGGGCGATGTGATGGTGGCTTAGCAGCGACAAGCGCCGCTTACGGCAGCTGGCGATGATGATCGTGATAGGCTTCTTCATGTCCACAGCCACGGTTGGTGATGCAATCGAGCAAACGACCCGTTGTTTGGGACTTTGGGTTCCCAGTTTTTGCTTACCTATTCTCGTTGCCTACGGCGAGGATAGACCTACAAAGGCATATGACTCTGCTCGTCTCTAGACATGCCAAATTTCCATCTTTACGCTACACTTCATGACATCCAGATCAACAATGTCCTACCCTTCAGAAAAGCAAAAAGAACCGGTGTACTCCTCTGCCGCGGACACTAGTCTGGGAGCACCTCCTCCATCTTACGAAGAAGCCGTGCCGAATGCCGCGCAAGACGCCCTACCAGAATATGGCAACCTATTAGACAATCTCCACGTAGAAGCCGGGCCCTCATCATCGACTACCCTCACAGCCGCAACACACAAGTTTCCGCCCTCGCTAAACTGCTACTTCCAATGGGCCTTCACGCGAACCTTCATCCTCGGCCCCTCCAACGAGGAGAAGCTCTTCGCAGCCTCGCCGCACGCGGGCTGGCGCACCAAGAAGCGAGAAATCATCCTCCACGACGGGCCCTCAAACGAGCACCCCGTACTCGCGACGATCGGCAAATCGTGGGCCGCGAAGGCTCAGACGCCTGCGACGATTGCAATCCCGCTCCGGGAAGAACGCGGCGAGACAACCGGGTTTAAGACGGAGATTAGCGGGTTGCCGTGGAGTCTGGACCAGAGTTCCGCGCGCGTGTTTTCAATGACAGTTGGGGGGAAAGAGACGGGAGGGGGGGAGGCGAGGACGGAGAGGTTTCAGTGGAGGGGCAGTCGGGGCGGGGAGGTCTCTGAGCTTGCTCACGGAGGCACGTATGGGTGGAAGTTGGTCAGGTTGAATGAAGTTGCCGAGGGCGCTGGGGGAAGTAGGCGAGAGAGGGAAGCTGGATTCACGAGCGATGGACATGAGATTGTTGCTCTCCTGGCGACGAATTACAAGAGCTTAACGAAGGGGCTGAAGTTCTCGTTTGCTGGGTCGGGGCTGACGGGGGAGTTGGGCGAGAAGTGGGAGATTGTTACAGTCGCGACTGCGTTGTGGACTTGGTATACTCACATTGAGGGCACTGAGGGCTCATGATCTTGATGACGGACTCAGATAAGGATAGATCTGTCTTTGCGTTTACATATACCCCCTATCAATGCATGACCTGCTTAGAGCACAATGACTTCCCCATTCGCTGCGATATGGAGTATCATCTTCTTATTGAGCGCTTACAGCAGGCACTCAAGCAGTGCCAAGGTAATTGCGACATTGAACATTATGCAATCTAGCAGACATCCTACCACGAGGCTGTGGAAGCATCAGTCACACAGACGAGGCCCGGCTGTCACCCGATTGTTCGGTGAAGGCCGGGAGCAGCCGAATCGTTCGCCGGGCCGTCGACCCCACTGATCCTAAAGCCGTTTCCGGAGCTGGACCCTGCCAGCATCAACCCCGCAGCAGAGCAAGACAATCATACTGACCTTAGGTAATCACCATGTCTATCAAGGGCGTGCTTCCAATCTCATCAAGCAAATGGCAATCGTCTTTCTCTTTGCACCATCTCGTCGTATTCTCCATTTCACAGGTCGTTACCAAAAGAACGTAACAAGGTATCACCGCAGCCATGTCAACGTCCGAGAAGGAGACCGAGGAAACCTTCCGCAAAATCATCGACAACTGCAACGCGGGCAACGCGGGCAACGAGGCCGGCCTGGAATTCCTCCTTCACATGAGATGCATCGGATTCAACGGAGAAGATTGCCTCACTGGCGATTTTGCACATCGCCTAAACCGGCCCTTTGGGACAAACAGCACCAACGTGGTCAAGATCGACACGATTCTCGTTGATGGATTCTCCTCAAACCTTGCCGCTCGTCTCATCAACAGAACGACACTGCGAGACTCTGGCACAGTCTTTGAGTACGCAGAAATCGTCTTTGCTGAATTTATGAACGATTCCCTCCTCGGGTGGCGTTCATTACGGGACGAGGACGCGGTTTTTAGTCGGGAAGTCTCAACGGTTCCCACGACGCCCTCGCCACCGCCGGCGAGTCAACCATCATCTACAATGTCAGTACAAGAGATGAAGGCGTTTTATCAGAGATATATCAAGTGCATCAACGACAAGACAATGACACGAGATTTCGCCCAATTCTGTCAACCAGAGTTGATCCACAACGACCGCAAGTTTTCCATCGCAGAGTACATACCCCTCATCAGCGAGAGCCAAGATGCAATAGATGACCTGTACTTTGAGATCGACGAAATGGTCGCGGATGATGAGACGCAGCAGATTGCGGCGAGACTCGAGTTCACGGGGACTCCTATGAAGGAGTGGGGAGGCGCGAAGCCCAATGGCAATGAAGTCGAGTTTCATGAGCATGTCATCTATCAGTTGGAGGACGGGAAGATCTCGAGGGTGTCGTCGGTTATAGAGTTGGATGTGTATCGCCAGCAGATGATGTAACCTCAACGGGAAGGAGTCTAATGGGATAGAAAGACATTCAAATTAAAGAAAGAACAGAATAATCCATAAAGATGGAAAGCAGCAGTTCTATACCTGTTACCTAACTTGCCGGCATGTACGGAAGACCCAATCTAATAATATTACAAAGTAGGTCGTTTGAGGTCTCATATCCCCGGCGCTAATCCTATTCTTACCTAATATTGTCACCCTAGCCATCCCCAGTTTGTGCCACGACGGGGGCACTCCAAAGTTTCGCCCTTAGTCGCGGTGGTGTAAACTTCTATCATCTAGATAATCCAATTCACGCAATGGTATGCTTTCTTCGTTGCTGATCTTCTTATACCCCTCTTTCCGTGTCCTCAGCCATTTCAAAGAGCGTTTGATTCCGAGTACAAGGCAGACCAATAACCCGATGAAGGCGAGGCCCGAGATCCAAGCTCTCCAGCCCCGAAAACAGCATGGATATAGCGACATGAAGACGCCAACCCCCCACTGCAAGAGATTCTTCCTTTCTGGATGGTCGGGGAAGAGCCCTTTTCTGACGAGCTGCTTCGTTGTCGGCCCCGTTGGGCCGGAGACGTAGCGTTTCAGACCGAAGTACGGTACGATTTTCTGGCGTGGATGATCGTCGGGGTATTGAAAGTCTCCCCATATCCCTGAATAGTATAAGAAGGATGTAAGATTGTTGGAGACTTCCTTGCCAACGGGAAAGATACTCGTCAGAAGCGATGTTTCGGGATCGAATTTGTAGTAATATGCTGACGATACGGGATCCCAAATTTGACCTGCGTCACAGTAGTCGAGCAGAACCGAATCGTGGACGTGGTCACTAGACGAACGATGTTGTTAGTGCGGTGTCAACGGATTGAACAACATAGCGTACTCACCCAGGAGATGCCCAATTTGCGTGAGAACCCCATGCGCTGTAAACGACAGGCTAAAGACATCGTTAGATGCTTGGTCGGATCTGACCAACAAACCAGGGACGCGACATACCCGTCCATCCTCCACGGATAGAGCCTTGTCATCCCACTTGTAGGCAGAGCCTGAGGAGTGTTGGCTGTAGTAAATACCGGTAGGTTTCCCGTCGTAAAATCGAATCATGTTGTGCTCCCTGTCCACGAAATGTCAGTGAAGGCAATGTTGTTGATACGGATCCAAATATGAAGCTGACCAGTCGCCAACATGATCACCAAAGTGCATTCCATGCTCAGTGTCTTCTATCAATCCATTCATAGGCGGAAGAACTTGAGTAATGTTTGCCCCTTGATCATACGAGTAGAAGTAGAAGTAAAAGGCATCCAGATCTCCTGAACCCCTATCAACGGTGATTACAACGCAAGAGGTGGCATTATGGAGCTTGCCGGACTCGTCTGGTGTCTCTCCTAAGAGCCAAGTGGGAAGACTGGTGATGTCGCCGTTTGCAGTCAGCGAAACTGGACCGTTGTTCCAATAGTCGTTTAGCATCGCCAGATTGTCGAGATTAAGTTCTGGCAGTCCCTTGATAGGCTCCATATGCACCATCGGCGTCGTATGGCGTACATGTCCGAGTATGTCTGCCGGCCGGAATGGGTCGTCAGAGTGAAGCCATACCAACGGCGCTGTTATAAATACGGGTAGGTCAGTATATGTATCGGCCTGGTATCTTGCCAGTTCCAAACTCCAGGAACCTTTCGAAACGAGCAAGCCTTCAAAGGTAATTGGGATGTTCTCCTACCATGACGAGTGACATATTCTGGCACTATTCTCTCGGCCTCGCGAGAAGGGAGTGAAGAGTCGTGCGTATTGCTCCCATCCGGGATGGATAGTGCGGTAGAAAGGGAAACGCTTGATAGTAAAGCCAAGATACTTTGCCAGCGAAATGCGACAAAACATAGGCCGACCATACCTGCGGCGGACCTTATTTGCCCAGGTAAAGTTGCCGCTCTGAATTCCTTGACAGGACCTTGTGTTAGGAATCAGGTGCTTCGGTTGCGTCCTAACTGCGTGGAACCATGTTGCGTCGCTCAACAGCTTCCACAACTGTCTAATAGGGGACTGCAGAGGAAACTTTGCGACTACAGGTATGAGGGAGCCCTTCTTTCCGCCCGAGAGAAAACAAAGACCAGATAGTCGAGTTTTCCAAGAGCTCCTCGGCCCGCGGGGGCCGTTGGCTGGCGTGGCAGCTTGATGCTGTGTAACCGCACGCATTGAGACTGGAGATATCAAAGGGCTCAGTACCGCCCTTGATCAGTGGTTCAGTACCTATTGAAGCACTGTGAACAATGATCAGCTGCATGTTACTAAACAGTAGCTGATTGGCTGGATTGTCAAGTGTCTTGATGTTGGATAGTTGGTTCCAGTCTGTACGACACTTGGCGAAAAGGATGCGCGCTTCAGCGCCGCAGCTCATTCGCTGGGCGCACTCATCTCAGCAATGGATTTCCTCTCGAATTCTTTGGGTTTCTATTCTTAGTTAAAGCGAAGCGCGGCTCTATACCAGAGAACATTGGTCTTGTACCTCTGAAATGGAAAGAAGATAAGAGACCACACCACGTGGACGATCAAATGTGTGTTTGTGCGAAACGCCACCTGAACGGCGCAATTAGGAACTAAGTTGTCGTATGGTCACAATGTGGGACACCCACCCACCTAAACAGCCATACCTACATCGACCAAGCCTCTGTATATTTTGAGTGGCTCCCTCTTTTCGTCCAAGCCCTTTATTGTCGTACATGGCTTCGATGCGATGGCCAGGTGGTGTCACGGCAGGCAATATTTCTCAGCCGCTTTATTGTCCAACACATTCCCACTGACGTCTAATTAGTGGCCCCTATTCCTTCGAGTTGAGAGCCTCAGGGGAAGTACAGACACTGTGACACACGAATGAAGCCTTCGCCGGCATCAATGTGCCGCTTTATCCGGCAGATTCATTGGCATTAAAAAGCCTCTTCCAATCGGTTGTTGTACTCCAGATTACTCCGTTTTCAAGAGGAGCTTCGACGGATATCCTCCATGCTGCACTCGTTCAACGGTGGGAATGGAACCAAACATCGAGGGCCACGCCAAGACAACTTCTTCCTTCTTCCCGTCTCTGCAATAGCGCAGCCAGACGCCGTAAGTCACGTTGATATAGCATGCAATCCCGGTGAATAAGTGCCTAGCTCGCTTGTCAGCTTCTTTCTTGTATCCGACGTGAGCCCACACTCACCACCATCCATGGCCCTCGAGGAGAATGCCCCAAGGAAGTCCGAGCTCTCGTCGCCATTGTCGAAGTTGTGAGCAGAGCATGTTGTCGAGGTTCCAAGCTAGAAATCCAATGGCTATGGCTACAAGACCGCAAGTGATCAATGTCCACATCTTCTTGAGGAGCTGCGTGTCAAGAATCTCAGCCTTGCTCTGAGGTGTGGACTTGGGCCGGAGTATCTTCTCCATGATATACATGCTTCGGAAGACAACGGTAGCTGTGAGGATTCCAAACATGACTTGGTGGAAGACGGGATCCCCGAGATAGTGGTAGTACACGGTGATGAAAATGGCCAAGCTAGTAACAAAAGTGCCCAGAAGAGCCTGGCCAGATGAGGACTTCCCGTGGGAAAATACCGCATAGAAGAGGATACATGTGGTGTATATCATTGATAGCTCATCAAACAGCTGCATCCAGTCTTTTTCAAGTTTTAGTACTGTAACACGACATTGTCAAGGATTCCAGAAGCAACGAACATTTCAAGGAGGTATGGTAGACCACGCTTGCGATACCGATGGTCATGTATCCGACGTATGCCACCAGAAATACTCGTGGATGGTTGTTCCGAATACAGCTGGAGATTCCAACTAATGCCAGGTAGACGAATATCGCATTGGTAAAGGTGTTAACAAACTCAGCCACGTATGATGTGACATAGTAGTCCTGGAAACCTCGGTCAATATCAGTAAAATTCGATTAGATGGTAGAAGTCTTTGTAGATCTTCTTGAAATATCGCGCAACATGCCTACCTCCTCGCACCAGTTGATGGTTGCTGTCACAGGGTTCCAGAACCCGTCCCTGGAGGGTGGGTAGGGTAGTGATGGCAACGGAAAAGGCATTCCGGCTTGGTATGAGGCTGTAGAAACGGAGAGACGGTGGCGGACAAAGTAAGCTGAACACCGTAGACTTTTCCGTGAGACTTTGATCGCATTCCCTGAGAGCTAGGTGTGAGCACGGCTACAGCGCAAAGCTGCACTTTGATCACGCTGTTTCTTAGAAGCTGTCGTGGTCGAATTGTCTATGTTGAAATGTTACACGCCGGAACAGTGGAAAACTCATGAACATGCCGGTGGTTTGCATTGAGTGGAGCGAAAGGCGGAATGGGAGTTGCTAAGGATTATTTCGTGGATTGGTGAAAAGTCTAAGTGTGTCTGGCTGTTTCTTAAAAAGGGCGAGCCTGAAGCCACAGTATGGATATCCGGCAAGTTGCAGAGTTGCCGTTCGTACCGATACCGAGCTGAGTAATCGACTGGGTGTTAATCCGTGAAGGTCTAAGTAGGTGGAGTGGGTATTCGCCCCGGCTGAATTAAGATAGATTTATCTGCCCAAATGGTCCCGAAAACCATTCCTTCGGAATGCACAACTTAATCCCACTGGAAGCTAGACAGCAAGGTCCCACTCATAAATCTATGCAGAGACTGACTTGCATAAGTTCAGCCAAGATGAGTTTTTATGATTATATTCTACCGAATACAGGACGAGTCAGTTTCGACTTTGCCTTTGCATAAAGTAGTTATTTGGTCAACGTACCCGACGACCGAGCCCTTCAGCTTGGAAATTCTGCTCTGAGTACGTACAGAGTCATATAGTCCCAGTCTCTCTGTCTCTCACACACCCTTCTAGAGGCCCATTGCCGCTCTCCATAAGCTTGGTCGGCTCCAATCACTCCAGTAATCAGCCATGCTGAATGTGGCTTCAGTTGTGTAGCCTCCGCAACTTCGAGTGCATGTCTTGGTACCACTGGATGATGACAAAGTGAGCATGCCCACTGGGAGGAATACATACGAGAACACCACTTGACTCTCGGGTGTCGAGGCTCTCGCCTCCTGAGGCTGCTTACTTGTCGGAAGATTGACGCTCTCTGACCTACCTCCTGGGTGCTTCCCAGAAAAGAAGGTGGCTCGAAAGTTGACATTCTCGTCCAGCTCCATGTCTTGCGTTCTTGTATGATCTGTCAAGAGGTGATGACATACAGGATGCTGTCCGGCTGTTCAACATGGGCGTTGTTAGGTTTCTCTCCCCAGGCCCAAGGCTGCAGTATCTTATGTGACAGGTAAAAGCCCCGGTACATCCTAGCTTTCATGAAGTTCTGGAGCGTTTCTTTCTCGCTATCAAGTTCATGTCATAATCGTACATTATTCCATGTTAGCAAGATAGTTGACAATTTCCGACTGTCGGCTCCAACGTTAATGCTGCACCGCTTTTCTCGATGCTGAAGATGCCTTCATTCTTCCTTTTCTTCGTACTGGTTACCTTTCTCTGCTGGCCGTGCCTCGCAGTATACGTTGCCAAAGACCAGTTCAAAAGCTGGTATCCCGAATTCGGACCCACCTTCGAAGCCATCGTCGAGGGCAACTGTTCTGCCGAGTACGAGAGGTACTTGACGATACCGAGAGAAAATGCCACCATCGACTGGTTCACCGGAGGCGGCAACACAAACAGGCTCGCCCAACCTGTGGCAAATTGCATCCTGGGCAACACATCCGAGTTCATCATGAGCAACATGGCAGCCGCCGCAGTTGTCCTCGGTCTCATGCCAACAATCCTTGCCACAATCGGAAATAGCGTGGAAGAGACCTCGACGCTCTGCGTTATCGGCCAGAGACCACTCATCGCCTTACTCGTTGCTGCTGGATCGCCCGCCATCCACCCTATCCGATCATTCGAATACATGAACCCGATGAAGTTGGTTAAGTCTCGGCGCTACCGATTACGCACCAAAAGATCATCCGTACCGCTTAGAAGGGTTGCTCTCGCGATCGAATTCCTTGCTGCGATTGCGGCCATTATCAACACGTATACACTTTGCAATCAGCTAGGGGTTATGGTTGTCAGTATGCTTGCGCCCCAGCTTACTTATCTGGAGTTCCTCTGGAGTATCATTGGCATCAGCTCCCACGTCTCCGCGGCTGCTAGCGTGTGGGCTCGAACACGTATCACCAGAGGTATGACTCGACGTGAATATATCAAGCAAGTACTCCTGCGACAATTCACACCTATAGGCGACAAGGATTGGACTAAAGCAGTTATTGATGAAGACGAAACATATTTTTCAATGGCCTTGTCATATTTCACGTCTCTACTTGGTACATGCCATCTTATTTACGGAAGTATGTTGTTTTCCAGTCTTGTTTTCATTTCTGCAACGGATAGCCTCAAGATCATGGCTCGTTACATGGCATCGGCGATGGTGAGCAGGTTCATCCTCATGTACGAGCTTTTCTGGCTACGAGATATCCTCGGTGAAAGAAAAGGACTATTTCCGAGGAATGATTCTATCGAGTTGACCCAGCCAACAGAGGTCTTGGAACACGGTGGCAAGATATATCACAGAAGCACAGCTAGTTCAGGGGCATTTGAGACTTGAGATAGCTGCTACTTTTACAGATCGAAAGGTTCTCGGCCAGATGTGTATGTGAACTCGAATCCTTCTGATTGTCGTGGACTTATCCAAGAATAGGTGTTTGTTCTTTTAGTACACCATCTTGGTCAAAAAGGTGATGACTTCGTCCAGCAAAGTGATCCGCGTAGATTCACTTCGTGAAACTTTCAACATCTTCGTACTGTTTCTGTTGGTATACACGTCAGCAGGGCAACCGTACGGTTGGAACGAAGTGTCAATAATGGTCTATTATTGCTGCGTATGGAGGTGGAAGGAGGAGGTTGTGGGCAGAGCCCACGATTCCTCAGAAGTGGTATGTAAGTGAAGGGCCGTTTGTAAGTGCCCATACCGCCTTCCAGATCCACCCTTTCTGCCGACTGCTCAGAGATCCAACAGTTTCAATCCTGTGCTGCTGCTGACGTTCGATCATGTGGGTGAGTCTTGGACTTCGTTTCCACTTGCTTCCCTTTTGCCTCTCTGACTCTATCTCCAGTTCTTGAAGGCCTGAAACGCTCTTTCAATCTCTGTCGCTGCTCTTCAATTAGCTCATTTTCAGGCTTCCGACTTGTTGGCTTCGTTTCGGAAGAATTTGATTGCTTGCCACCGCTGTCGTCTATTATCTTGCCAGCATCTCTGGATGTCAAACTGTTGACCCGTTCCTTCTGTTCAGCAAAACTCCTCTCGCTTCTTTGGAAAACAGGATGTCGAGTAAAGTCTTGGGGCTGGGCGAAAACAAGTTGGGGGGGTTGCGCCAATCCAGGTCTTCCATTGCCTATTGCCATTGGCGTAGGATACAAATGGTTAAAGAGGTACGGGCCGGCTAATATCGCTCTTCTCATATACAAGTCCTTTTCTTCCTGACTTATTGAGAGGGCTCTCAATACCATGGCTCGCGTATGTGATACTGGTCCTTCAGTTGAAGTTTCACCAGCGAGGATAATCTCCTGCCGGATGCCCGCGCGGACTTCGCGGGTCGTGAGAGAATATGTTATGTAACAGTATAGACGTGTTAGGAGGTAGTGCTTTGGCGATCCCATTCAGTGCCACAAGTCACCGAGCTTATCTAGCAGGAGCTTTGGTTGAGAACATTGATAGATGAGTAGTTGAAGGCAAGTCGCTTGTAGTGGACCATCTCCCAGCTCTTCCGCAACTCCGAGGACGGTTCGAAGAGCTCCATCGTGCCCAAGCGTCGTAGACGGGTCCGGATGCCAATTGGGTGATTCGTCATCAAGAGGTGCGTATGTAACTGTTGGTATCCCTATCACAGGGAAGTTGGTTCGAACCGTAGGGTCCTGGGGGTGACGAAGTATCAATATCTCTGTATTGATTGATTCTGCGTAATGTGTAAAAGGGAGATTCCAAACGTAGGTTGGTTGGGTAGTCGCGGTCTAGTTGTACCACCTCGAGGTGGCCCATGCTCTTGCCCTTATCCGCGGTCGAATTGGACTTCCAATCCGACAGTAACCATGCCACTCAAGGGCAGGTTTACATCCAACACATGCTGTAATCCCCGTATTTTTCTAATATGAGACGCAAGGGCAAAAACTCCGGTGATCTTCGGATCAACATATTGTTCTAGCAAGACTTTCGCTATGATCCAACGAAGATATGGTCGAGTTTTCGTATTGGTTGATTGTATTCCAACGACCTCCAGAGCATGACTCTGGGAAAATTCAAAAATTGTTTTGACCGTAGTAGGATTCGTGCGCGCATTCATAGAGGAAAGGGTTAGTGTCGTGAATATGTCCAGTAGAGCAAATGATGATTCTTCGTTTGGCGTGGTTGTCCCCCAATCGTCTTCGATTCTTTCGACCATTTTAATCAGACGCTCATCGGTTTCCTCCCCATTGTCTGCAAGTAAAATACCAAGAGCCCCGGAAACGCAATACCGATAGGAATGCAGGAGATTTGCCAGTAGATTTCTGAACTCCCAAATTCTGCCCTCGTCTCTTAAGTGCAGGTAGACTTGAGCGAGTTCATGATGTCGGTAAGGGTTGGGAAAGCCGCGTTGAAACATTGCAGCAATCGCTACACTGAGCTTGGTCAAGTTAGATTTTTGTTAATCTCAGTGGATCCATATCCTCGCATGCACTTACTTCCGTTGAGTCCAGCCGAGGCCAATGTTGCCATATAGTCTGCATACATTCATACACACCCACCCATTCTGGGCGATTCTCTTGGATAATTCATACCCACAGTAACTTCTCGCTTGATCCAAATGCATATAAATACTTGTTCGGAGGGTTCCAGGACGGATTTCCAGTGCAAACTTCTGCTCAACTTGAGAGAGTGCATGAAAATCACACGCTGCCCGAAGACCTGCGCAGTACTGATCCAACACGTAAGGATTGTCAACAAAATGCAACAGACGACGGTCGAATTGTGTCTGAGCAGCCTTGAATCGCCCCAGGGTCACAAGTCTTGAGTATTGTTCCAGATCTTCTTCCAGATCGTCAGTAGCGTTAAGCTCTGAGTGGATTGTAACGTCCTGAGGATACCGGGGATCGATCCGAACGTTGATGCTGCGGCTGTGCTTGGTATGGTTAGAGATTTGGCTGAATTCCATGGTCGTCAATTGCAGTTGTGCGGAAGCCGCATCACTCGGATGGAGGCTGTTCGAGGATGAATCTGATGGTGTCTCATCATCAGACATTGAAGACTGATTGGGTTCATTGTAGTTTTCGACGAAAGCGACATAATTTGAACTTTTTGGTTTTCGAGGCATCTTATCACCTCTTTTGGCCTGCGCCATTGATTCTCGATGTGTATTTTCTTCAAGTCTTGTATGGAGACCGCTGTGGGTTTGATGACTGGCGGCGTCTACGGGAGGCTCGGAGTAAGGCCTCCAGTTCCGGTCTCCATCGGTGGTCGAATGACGCAGTGGTGATGATAGTTTCCCTCCCAGAAGATTCCAGGGCATTCTTCTTTTGAGTGAGTGGATGTCTCGAGCGACTTTTCTTTGCTTCTTGTCGTAAGAGGGCTCTTTTGGCGGACTAGTCGCCTCTTCGTCTGCTTCTTCGTCGTGGTCGTAAAGCGTGGCTCCGCTAAGAACAGTATGACGGGAGGTTCTGCTCGCTTGCGATTTGGGGTCCATGATGATGGGGGAGCGTTTGTGCCTCTATTCCGAAGCTGATAGCGTTTGCGACCTTGTTAGATTGACCCTGAACGTACATAGCAGAAAGCCGGTCTTTCAAAGAAGTAAGTATGCTTACTTTTAAGTTTAGGTGGCATGACCATGAGCACCAAGGCTTCGTTTAGCGTAACGGAGAAAGGTGTCTCTAGAGAGATGTGATTACCTACCTACCGTGGAGAGGAAAAGAAGGTCGGCGGATACGGTAGCCCACGCCGTAAGCGTACATGACCAGCACTGCAGCCAACGGCCCAGCCAACCCCAAAAGATAACATGAAACTCCATCTTGTCTCTGTTCAATGATAGGCGCAATCGGTAGCCGCGCAATTTTAGCTGCAGCTTCGAGCACGCGCAGCAGTGAGGTCCCCCTCAATTAGGCAGGGCTCCTTGCCCATCCTGTTCTTCTCACGCTGTCAGAGCCTTCCCTGACTTTCCAAAAAAAAAAAACCCCCCAACTTTTTTGCTTCAACTGCCTGTATCGTGATACACAAAGACACTCCGAACATGACCGGTACAGCGATCGAACACCTAGCAAATGGGAGAGCGCCCTCTTTCCGTCCCGAACTAGGCATTCGCCGATTCGGCTGGCAAGATTTCGAGCGCTTCGATTAGGAGGCAGCCCGGGGGTCTCACCTATGCCTGGGATCCGGCACTATCGTAAAAGTTCAAGTCCAATGCAAATACCAGTGGAGGAAGGCACAATGGGGTGTCCTTGGTCCTAGCAGACATCCTGCCGGTATAGTTTACATCGATATAACAATCAAGCAACCCCCGGGACACACTCCCAGTAACGCCACTGTGCTCATTACTTTGAGCGAGCAAAATACACTTGGACTCGACGCTAGAGGTGGTAGACGAACACAAAGGCACGTTCGAACGTCGTTAGAATCAGATTATGCGGTACAAGTGACAGAGTTCTTTGGGCCCCAGTTTCTCACAGGTCCAAGAATTGTCACTTCGGAGATCAGGGCGAGGGCTTTCGAACCCACGCTTGGAGCTGGGGGCTTCTTTGAATTAGGGGGAATGGGAACTCGTCAGAGTAAGATGAGAGAGGTTATCGACAGCTGGACTTTCAAAGGAACGGTAAAGCGGGCAAAGAACGGAGAAGGGTTCCGGTCTCTCGAGTGGGAGCTCAACGAAAGCGAAATATACAACAATCCATTTCGAAAACACAACTTCCATACCGGCTTTGCGTTCGAACACAGCGGAAGACCGATCATCATGTGCGTTGAAGTCGAGGGTCGTCTCAAAAGCAAGATGCGGCAAAGCAGACACAAGCTTCTGCGCTTCTGCTCGAAGTCAGGCGACACTGACAACTCGATGACAACCGAGATCGATCTATCTTCGGCAACATCGGTCTTCAAGAAACAGCTCGACGGGATTGCACACGGTCTGAACATGGCAATGCAGAAGGAAACCACGATGACTCCCCGGTAGAGATGCCGCCACCTATGCCAGCAACCTTTGAAGAGGTATCTCCTTCGATAGAAGCACCTTCTCAAGAGATCGATGAGGTTCAAGAATCCGGGGTGGATGTTTTATCGAAGTTCCTCCACCAGCCCGCTAAGGTAGCGATCGAGCGTCAAGCGTCGCCGGTAAAGAACGGAAGCGAATTCTCTGCGGGTGACGAGACGCTCGTCAATGACAGCAGCGACCACAGCGTCTCGGGCAAGTCTGTCCAATCTGTGGGCCGAGTAACTGCTCAGCACATGTTAAAGGTGTCGGAAGTTGTAGCGCTGGCCCTTTTCAATTGGGTCTTGATGATGGTGAAGTTTGTGGGCTCGGGTCAGCAATCACGGCCAAGGGCTAAATCGAGTTTCATTCAGAAGGTACGGGCATCACCGGACTACCTGTGGAGGCAATACTACTGTATTGGATCTGATGATGATGATGATAGGAAAAGCTGAGCGCTGGCTGGGCTGGATATCTGGGCAAGGTGTAGGTGGGGCAGCTCCGAGATGTGAAGGAGCTGCCTCACGTGACCCACCTGCACCTGCCACACCGCCCCTCAGGCCAGCCACAGTGAAAACTATCGTACATGTGAGAAGCAGGCTCAAATACCGACAATCCCAATTAGTCCTCCGCTGTATCCCATGCTCCGCCTATATCCTCCGTCCTGTGCCTGAGCCAAATAATCCTTTATCCCTTGTTTGTTCGGTCGGGTATAAGGATATCTATATGCTCATTTGCAAGCGATTTTCGTAAGGCCAAGCATTTTGACGAAGTTGGCGTGCTTCTCGTGATTTAACGGCTTCGTGAGTCCGTCAGCAGGCATGTCATGTGTTCGGATAAGTTTGAGGTTGAACAAGCCGTTTTTGACTTGATCGATGATCCACTTGTATCGTAGATCGATGTTCCTGGTTCGCGCCTGGTTTAGTGGATTCGTTACGTTGATCAGCGCGTTGCGGGAATCAGTAAGTAGGACCGTAGGACGAGGTTGAGTGCAGCCGAGAAGTCTCAGCAGCTTATGAACCCATTGGACCGAAAGTCCCGTTGGAGTAAGGTTAATGAATTCAGCTTCCGTGGAGCTGGTTGTGACGTAAGTCTGTTTCTTCGACTTCCATATCACTGGGCCACCGGCAAGGATAACGACGTATTCTCCAGTGCTCACTCGGGTAAGGCGACAGTCGCCAAAGGCCGCGTCGCTGGCAGCATGGAGTCCGAGGTCATCAATAGGCATAGAAGCGTCAAAGGTGATGCCGAGGTCGACTGTGCCAGTGAGGTATCTCATGAGGTGCTTGATTGCTGCGAAGTGGTGCTCACCAGGGCGGCTGTTGGCTTCGCAGAGTTTGCTAGTTGCGTAAGTTATATCGGGGCGCGTACCGGTCGAGAGGAAATTAATAGAGCCTGTCATTTGCAAGTACAGCTTGCAACGGTCAGTTTCAACTGGTTCATACTCAACTGGCCACTTGGCGACGATATTGTGATCCATTGGTGTGCGGACTGGATGGAGGTCCACGTATCCGAACTTCTGAAGCATCCTGCGACAGAATTCGGCTTGTGATAGGTGGAGGGTCTTGGCTCTCTCATTGCGACAGACTTCGTAACCTAGGAATCTCTGAACGTCTCCCAGTTCTTTCATGCTGACAAATGACTTAAGGAGATCCTTGACTTTGCGAATAGTGTTCCGGTCTGGAGCAGCGATGACGTTGTCATCAACATACATCAAAACAATGCAGTTGTACTCGTCATGGATAAAAAGGCAGACTTCGCAGGTGCCATGGGGTGGCCGTAAAGGGCACGCTTGAGGAGGCAGACTTTGTCTCCTTGGCGATAGCCATGGGGCTGCTGGACGTACACCTTGGTATCGTCCGGGATAGAGGCGTGAAGAAAAGCTGTGTCGTAATCGAATAACTCTGCGATGTAGGTCTTGGTTGCAACAACAGCAAAGAAAACACGGATAGAGGTTGCATTAGCGACAGCTGCGTACAATTGTTCAGCGGACCAGTCAGATACCGCGTGGTTGCCACAGACAACCCATCGGGCACGATATCTGCCGTCAGACTTGATATCGCATATCCATTGGCCAGGAAGAATCTTTTCTCCGGTTGGAGGGTCAACGAGTTCCCAGGCTTCGGCTTGCTGTAGCGCCTTGATTTGCTTATCAAAAGCAGGTTGCCACTTGTCCCACTCAGGACCCTCTTTGGCCTGCTTGAAAGTGCGAGGTACGGTTGGACCAGCGAGTGCGGCAGCGGCGATAGCAGATAATACTGGAGGCTGGTTGTCTTCCCACACAACTGTGTCAAGGCTGACATAGGCTTGTTGATAACCATCAGACTTGGCATACGTGTTGCCTCGGAGAGAGCAACCGCTGAAACCGCCCCTCTTCTTGACCCAAGTGCCCTGTGAGTTTCTGACATGCTCACGTGTTGAGGCTCTGTTTGGTTGGCTTGGAGGAGGGCGAGATTGACGAGTTCGTCTAGTTGGTTGTGTTGTAGGTTGAAGATCGTGATCTTCTGTGGCAACTACTATAGTTGCTTCATCTATATCCTGTTGGATAGCTTCTTCGATAGCGTTATCGAAAGATGTATCAGTATCGTGCTGTTGAACAGTTATGTTAGCAGACATCTGCTGATCAATAGGGCTGTCTGGTTCAGGGGTTGGAAGAGGGTTTTGGGTAGTTGCCTCTTCGGCAGACTTGTTGTCAGTGGTTTCGTCCTGGCGGTCAGGAGTGCTGGACGACTTCTGTGCTCCTTCATACTCAACAGATGAGGTGCTGGTGTCTGGATCAGCAAAAATGGCATCGTGATCAATGGTTGGGTCATTGTCTTCGTCCTGGTGCTTGCCCTGTTCATAGAAACGAACATCGCGGCAGCGGTATACCTTGTGGCTTTGAGGTACGTAGACGTAGAAGAGATGGCCGTGAAGTGAGTCGTATCCAACGAGATATCCCTTGATGGCTCTTGTCTCCATCTTGTTGGCGCGGGCTGGTTGCAATGACCCCTTGCGGTGGAGATAGGCAACGCAGCCGAAAGTGCGGATATGGTGGATATACGGTACGTGATGGGCTTCGTCAAGATTGAGATCTTTCGCGAGCATCTCGTGGGGGCTGAGATGGCCTGGATTGGTTGCTTTGGGCAACAGGTTGGCAATCGTGATGACTGTGGTGACGGCATAGTCCCAGAGATAATCAGGAAGGTTGGCGTCAATCAGCATGGTTCGGGCCGCCTCTGCAAAAGTCCGGCCAGCTCGCTCTGCCTTTCCATTCATGCTTGGGGTGTCAGCAACAGTCAATTTGACTTTAATGCCTCGTTTGGTGTACAGCTCCTGCGAAAGAGCATTGAAAAGCTCGGTGCCGTTGTCTATTTGAAACGCCTTAATCGAAAGGTTGGTCTGGTTTTCGAAGAAGTTGATGAATTCTTCGATACGATCAAGCACTTCGTCAGCACGCTTGCTCTTGAGCAAGTATCGCCACTGGAAGCCTGTACGCGCGTCGATCATGTGAATTAGATAACGTGACTTTGTATAGGACAAGGGTTCGAATTGTACCAAGTCCATGTGAATGAGATGACCGGGCTGGGCCTCTCGAATGGGGGTTTCTCTGCTGATGAGTTGTTGAGATTTGCCTAGGTGGCAAGCCTCGCAGTGAAAGGTGTCAATTTATTGTTGAGGAAAAGTTATGCCCACACGACGGCAGGCTTCAACGACCCTGCTCTTGCCCGCGTGGCAAAGTCGCTTGTGCATAAGGTCAAATGTGACTTTGTTGTTATTCTTGCTTACCATAGCAAGGTTAAGGGCCGCGTTAATTTTCGGGCCTTCGTAGTTGTTGGTGACGATAACGGCAACATTGTTATGCCAATCGAGTTTGGCGATCGCGACGTTGTTTCCAAAGTGGATAGTGTCGTCGCTGACCTTGTAGCCCTGCTGACGGAGTGTGCCTTGACTCAGCAGGTTGACTGGGCAGTCAGGGCAGTACTGTACATCCTCAATTGACCAGTCGACCACCTTGTTGCTGTCATCTGGATCAACGGCAGTGAAGTAAACCGTGCCGTAACCAGCTGGCGATGCGTACTGACCGTTGGCGACTTCCATGGGTGGCAGTATTGCCTCGGTGAAGGAGGTGAACCAACTGAGGTTGTTGAAAGTGGTTCGCGAGCACCCGGAATCCAGGATAATGTCGTCACGGTTAATTCTGCCCGTTGCCATCGAAGTTGAGCACGGCAAGACTGTATGTCCCATTGTGTTCTGGTGGAGAACGTTCGGCGTAGCCTTGACCGCGACTGCCTTACCCTCCCGGCATTCGGAGGTACAAGTATGAGCAGCAGCTTTCTTGAGCAGGTTCTCACGGTACTTATGGTTGGATGGGATGAGGTCGGGATGGGCGACCCAGCAAGAGGTAGTCGCATGTTTCTTGCCGCAGTGTTGGCAGTCAGGACCATTGTAGTTGTTGTTAGGTCGCTGATTGTTGTTTGAGGTGTTACCGGAGGCCTTGTTGTTGCCGTTGCTGTTGTTTCCAACGGCGACGTAGCCCTTCGCGGCATTGAGTGAAGCAGTCCTTTCGGCATTGGCCTTGAATGTGAGATCGCGTGTGAGATCTTCAAGAGTCTTGGTGTTGTCCTCGACGTACTTGTCGTAAAGTGCTGGATATTCTTGTTGGCATCCGTTGAGTAGGATGAACATGGCTTTCTTGTGCCAAGAGGGGACCAGCTCATCGATACGACGAATGAGATACTGGCCACGCTGGAGATACTTATGAGTATCTGAGAAGTCCTTTCGCTTGAGGTTGCAGAGCTCTCGAACGAGCTCGGCGACGGCATCCTCTGAAATCTTGGGGATGATGGTCTTCAATTTGTTCATGAGAAGGAAGGGGTTGCGGTCAGCCGTCTTGATGTCGTATCCATCAGCGAGGAGACGATCGAGGACTTTGCTGATTGATGCGATGATGATGCCGTACGTTTCAATGCGCTGGCTCTTCCAAGTAGTGAAGGCCACAGCCTGCGCTGGAGTGATAGGATCATCGCGATGGGGTTGAGAGACGTCTTTATCGACGTACTTCTCGTAATCGAGAGTCTCAAGGGTGAGATGCAGTACTGCGTACCATTGGTCCCAATTTTCTTCTCCCTTGAGGTCGGGCACCTCCCAGCGGGCGCGGTTGCCAGCCATGATGACGATGGAGGTGAAAGATTCGTGATAGTGTGTGTATAGGTGTAGACGGCCTGTACGGTCGCGTCTGTTATTGTTTTGTTTTTTTGAGGAATCTGTACCTCTGCCGTTGCCAGTCGCGACGCCGCGATCTCTGGTCGACAGATTAGTAACTGCTCAATTGAACGGGCTCTACGCAGAGCTGGGCGATCAATTCATATGGGGTAAAAAGAAAAAGAGTCAACGCTGGGCTCTCATAACCTGTGGAGGCAATACTACTGTATTGGATCTGATGATGATGATGATAGGAAAAGCTGAGCGCTGGCTGGGCTGGATATCTGGGCAAGGTGTAGGTGGGGCAGCTCCGAGATGTGAAGGAGCTGCCTCACGTGACCCACCTGCACCTGCCACACTACCACTACAAAGAGCCGAGTCAGGAAGATTGGGATGTTGAGATTGATACGCTGTCCACGAAGCCTTCTCAGCATCTTTTGAGTGCAAACCCCACGGCGTCCTTTATCGATGGGCTCCCGCCGAAGATAACTTCCCTTCTTAATAAGAAAATGATACCAGAGCGCATTCAGATGCAGCGTAAGGGAAGTATTTAGGACTTCAAGTTAGCTACCGATCTCAAGTAACGAATACAGACAGATCCGTACCATTGGAACCGAAATTGAAGTGATCTTCGGACCGTGACGATTTGATCTTGCGGAGGATGTGGGTTAGAAGGCGGGCTAGCTCCGGTGTGCTGCCGCTCGGACACCCGGGAGGCCAGTGCAGTGCCGAAGGCCCCGGTCTATTCAACTATTGTTTACAGATATTCACCAAAACAATCCAAAAACATCGCATAAGGTCGCCCAACATAGAAAATGAGTCAAAGAGACAAAAAGTTTATTGCGTCAAGGACAGGATTCGAACCTGCGCGACCGAAGCCACTGCCTGATCTGGAATCAAGGTATGATAGCAGGGCAGCCCATTAACCACTCTGGCACCTTGACTAGTGACTAATTGATGGAGATCCTTAGTGGGGAGCCGCCCATATTGAGCAACAACCCCGCTTCACCCCGCTGCACATCCACAGGCGGAGTCGCGGGCACCATTTTGGCAATGGCTCGTGGAGACTGGCGGAGTTATGACTGAGAGTGGCATTGGTGAGATGCTGGTCAGTGATGGCCACAGTCTGTGTCGAGGCAGGGTCCATCCAACCGTAGATCATGTTGTGTCAAAGGGAGGGAAGGCTCGTCAAGCTGTGCTGTACAAAGGCGTAATAATACTTTTGGCGACACGTAGGACTTTTGAAGGGATAAAAGCTATCTAGTATATTGATGCCAAAGTGCCAAGGTGGCCTGGTGAAACTACCTATTCATACCGATCTTGACCCGACCCAAAACTCCGAGCTGCCCATGTGATATCATCCTGAACCCATCTGAAATCCCAAAATTCCCTAAGCTCCTACAGTGTGGCTGAACACCTTGGCAGCCAACTGGGTGAGTAATCTCGCACGATCTGCCTGCGGAAGGTCCTGCGATAAGTTAGCCTTCACCCACGTAAAATGACAGAATAGGGAGAGGGGCTGACGGGATATACCCGGTTGATATCTCCAGATTCGCACTGACCTGGAAAACGGCATAGACACTCTTGCCCTTCGCATCTCGAACAGAGCCAAGCCTGTTTCCAGCGACAGCACCCGCCAGCGCACCAGGCATATTTCCGACAATGAAGCCCAGAGCGCCACCACTAAGACCGCCAACCATGCTCCAGAATGAGCTCGTCGGGCGGTTCGTACCCTCCTCGGCCATGCCCTCTTCTCTCAGCATCTCCTCAAACACATCGCCAAACTGTGCGTTATCTGCCTGCGCGCGCTGTCCCTCATTCTGCTGGCCTTGCTTCCCGCCGGTGAAGAAGTTCCATGCCCACGAGTAGGCGTTTTGTGTATTGGAGCCGGCCTGCGGGGGTACTTCCTCCGGGTCAGAATCGTCGTCGTCGGAAAAGTCGCCGTATGTTGTACCAGCGGATGCGCCAAAGATCTTTCGCTGGGCGTCGTATTCTCTGCGTCTTTGTGTGTCGGATAAGGTGTAGTATGCGTCGTTCACAAGCTGGAACTTGCGGGTGCGCGTTGCTCGCTCGGGCGAGTCGGCGGGAACCCTGTCTGGGTGTGTCTTCAAGGCGGCTCTGGGAAGTAAAGGTCAGTTTGAGGAAGCTTGGGCTCGATATTTTGGATCCCTTACTTCTTGTACGCATCGCGAACTTGCTGGGTCGTGGCCGCCTCCGAAATCTCGAGGATCTTGTCTTTAGGCGCAATGTTAGTCGCGGCTCGGTAGCTATGGTGGGGTATTGGAGGGAAGCTTACAGTAGTTTGGAGGGGCGCCCGTGTTCGCCATCTTGATGATCGATAGGACTCAAGGTACAAGAGGCTTGTTCTAGATGTGAAAATAGCGATAAAACCCGCACGGTAAGGGAGTAGGAGAGGCTGCGAGCTTAAGGTGATCAAGTGGAAGATTGCGCTTGAGGTATCGCCTCCCCGAGGAACCAGGCGTGACTGACATTAACGTCATTGTGGCGCATGAAACCAAAGGGTGAACGTGGCTTGATCGGCTTGCGGGGCATTGCCTCCGGGGATTCCCCCACTTCAAGTCTTTTGACATGGTCTGTGCGGCAGTGCTGAGGTAAGGAGCGCACAGGTCAGTCTAGCAAGCACGTGCCCAGCTGCCCCTCCTCCTCCTCCTTCGACATCTTCCCTGGCATCTTCTCACACTTCTACCTACCTTCAAGAGCTTGGTGATAGCTATAGCTCTTCAGAGCTAGAGCGTGGCCCATGGCAAGCGCCAAGATCGAATCATCAGCAGCGCCAAAGTCTTGGAGTCCCCGCAATGGCCGAACGCTTTCAGTCACACCTAGTGTAGACCTTCTCATCCCAAGTATCGACCCATCTGCCCGGATGAAGGATCTATCATTGTGCTCCGACGCCAGGAACGGTAACACTACTGTACTTTGAGGCTCTGCGATCGAGGAGCGCCATCGTCTGGTCTCGCGTGCTCTTTTCGAGGCGAAGCAAGCTGCGAAAGGATCATGCCGCATTCGTTTTCGAAAACGGTCTCCGTCGAAGGTTTTCATCCCATTGGATCCTGGGAGGGAATGACTACCCAACGACTCGTTGCACATTTCAGAGACCCTGTGAGGCATATTGCACGCATGTTCGAGCTTTCGAAGCTAGGTTCATGCTAAAAGGCTATTCTGAGGAAGTCAAAATGCAGGTCTGCCGAGAGTCGGCTGTTGCTTAACAGTCATGCGAAGGCTCTTGGCGTTGCCATCACATTTGCCAAGTGGTTATTCCTACGGTTCGCGGTCTGGGGCCATTGTGTGGTCTAGTCACCGACCCTCATCTCCTACATTCTTTTGTTGAAGTTGAACAACTGATACACCGTACTCCGCTGCAATTGATAGAACACCAGCTAGTCTCTAGGAACAAGTCGCGCCGTTCTATTGACCAACACGCTAACCAAAATGTCGGCTTTTTGGGACACACGTGCGTCCACATGGCATTACGAAACCAGCTTGGGGTACCTATTCAGTACGGAAGCTCACTCGCAGCCACACATCAGCCCAACATTCCAGCTGTGCGTTCTGGGCAAAAGTACCAGTCCATCCGGCAGCCTCGAATGGCGAGCGATGCTTGCGCAACAACGCACATAGATGATCGACATCGTGCCACTCAGCTTGGGAGAATAAGCTAAGAAACGCGGGGGAGCCGGGACGGGGAGTCGGAATCGGCTTCCCGCGGCTGAGATGTCAGGTCAGAGGTTACTCTGCGAAAGTCCCCGATCCTTGGCGAGCGGCACTTTTGTGCTGCATTTCTCCGCAACGCTTACCTTCGCCGCATGCACATTTGAACATCCGCCGAGTTGACTCCGTCACCACATAGACTTCCGATGTGTTAACGAGCTGGGGTTGGCTTGAGTTTGGCGAATGGCAGTCTTGGCAGGAAACAAGGCAGCCTCGCCCGCGATGTTCCTGCACGTCTAAGGATGGGTTAGGAAGGTGTAATTGACCGGACTCTGCCTTGGCTAGAGGCAGTGAAGATCGTGAGAAAGTTGAGAAGGGCAGGTACCTGCTCTGTTGATGTACCTTTGGACTACCTAAAGAGAACTGGATCAACGCCTCGCTGCCTTTCTTCTTCTGCGACATCAACGACACCACACCGCCGCCGCCCTCTCATTACCGCTTTTGGCATCTTTATCCTGCATTCTATGGTTCTCGATGCCCGACATTGTTTAGACCAAAAAAGGTTTGCAGGAAAAGCATATTCTTTCCTCCCTTTACGAGCCATTATATATAGGGACCAGCTCGTCCCCGAGACCACACTGGATGAACCAGCTCCAACCGATCCTCGCCAGATTCCTTCTCTCTCATTAACTTGGGCGTCTGCTTGTCGGTGAAAGGCACTTCTGGTTCCAGTATCGAGCGCCTCAGCTTCCCTATCCGGCTCGCCAGGTCGCTTCTTAATCTCAAGGTCTGTCTATCCGGTACTCCAACTGACCAAAAGCTCCTTAGCTGACTTGTAATGCTAGTTGCGTACGGACGTTCCAAGTACTGCTCGACTGTCGGCAAAATGGCTCCCCTCACTGCGGCCGCGGACGGCAGCAGCCTTTGCACCACACCGATCTGTCTCGAGATCGCCTCGAACATTCTCATGAGTCTCGCACCGAACCATACCGACATCGATCCGTGCACAGACTTTGACAAATGTGCGTCGCACGACTCCAATTGCCTTTTGTTTCCCCCCACTCGCATTGCTTCCAGCTCTACTTTCCCCGCGCCCAAGCTCCCGATCCATGTCTCACATATCTTTTCGTTGTTCTCCTACTCGGCACTGCCGCGGATTCTGTTTGTTGCATGACTCTGGTTGGCTGATACACTTTCTTGGCAGATGCGTGTTCTGGATGGAAAGCAACCCATGCGCCTGGGGCTGGCCAAGGAAAGGTCTCATCGCTTGGTATTGTCGGCAGTGACGTCTCAATAGTGCTGAAAAACATCGTAGAAGGCACTTATCCCAGCGGACCAGATGCCGGATTCATCACGACATCGCTGTCACAGGAGCAAGTAGGCGTGGATCGGGACAACTTTCAGCTGATCGTGGAGACATACAATGCTTGCATCAATGACACCGCCGTCAAGGCTGCAGGCTTGGGTCCCCTCATCAACATCGTCAATCGCGTCGCGGAGGCCTTCCCTGTGGCCAATACCACAGAGGACAAGGACCGCAAGATCTCGAAGAATGATGCCAAAAATATGGGCAAGACACTACTGTTCTTTAGCCAACTCGGCATTTCTACGTTCGAGACAGTCACTGTTAACTTTGATGACCAGAATACGGTATGTTGACCTGGAGCCTGAGGACCTTCCACTATGGAGGCATACTGATTTCATACAGAACAAGACACTCATTAACGTCATCCCCGGGGGCACGCCGTTGCTCACAGGCTCAGTAGCCCGAGATAATGATACTGTTGCGGATTTTGAGCGCATTATGGCAGCACTGCTTCAGGCAGTCCATCCGGCCAAACTCGATGTCATGAATGCTCAGAGACTCGCTCTGGCTGTCACTAAGTTTGAGAAGGACGCGGTCGCTTTGCAGGCTACGGATGACAGTAAGGCAGGCCCAACTGTGGGTGTATTCCTAACCTTTAGGTCTGGTCGAAGAACTGACAGTGGTCGTCAAAGTCGCCAGCAAGGAATTTCAAGTTGGAAGAGGTCACAAGCGTGGCCCCAGAACTCGGCCACGATTTCGTCATCAACAACTTGATTCCCGCGGACTATACCCCCGATCAACTTGTGTTTTCCCCCGCCTACTTTGGCAACCTATCTCAGCTTCTCGCCAACACCTCTGTCGAAACAGTCCAAGGATTCTTCATCTGGAAAACAGTAACCACCTTCTCCAATTTCGTCGAGACAGATGTCACGGAAAGGTTGAATGATTTGAAATCAAAGCTTCGCGCTACAGATCCGGAGTTGGTTGGCAAGCCACCGAGATGGCAGCAATGCGTCGGTCATGTTGATGAGGGAATCCCATGGAGTGCTCTACCTACCGGGCTCGGCTGGATTCTCAGTCGATTCTACCTCGATAAGGCATACTCAAACGAAGCTCGTGACCTGGCTGTCAATATGATGGGCATGATTCAGCAGGCCTTTATCTCGCGCCTCGGCGAAAAGGATTGGCTAACATCCGAAGTCAAGAAAGAGGCCGAGGTGAAGGTCAATGCCATTTCCAAAAAGATCGGTTACCCCAACGTGTCTCCAGACACCACAAACCCACGCAAGCTTGCAGACTATTACACTGGACTGAAGGTAACCAACTCCTACTTCGACAATGCAGTTGCGTTTGCGACTTTCTCCAGCAAGTCGTTATGGGCTCTACTCGGCAAGCCTGCTGATAAGAACATTTGGCTGCAAACCCCGTCGACAACTAATGCTTATTACTCTACAACCTTCAACGACATCGTCATCAATGCCGGCATCCAGCAAAAGCCCCTCTATAATGTTGCCTACCCCTCATATGTCAATTATGGCGCACTTGGTTCTGTTCTTGGTCATGAGCTCACCCACGGCTTTGATAACAGCGGGCACAATTACGCTGCTAATGGCTCCCTCACAAACTGGTGGGATGAGCAGAGCCTCAAGGCATTCAGTACCCGCACCAAATGCTTCGCCAACCAGTATCAGCAGTTCACGGTCATTGCGCCTAATGGCACGCATATTCCCGTTCGAGGTAATTTCACGCTCGGTGAAAACATAGCAGATGCTGGAGGAGTGGCGACAAGTTATGCGGCATGGAAGAAACTACAGGCAGACAAGAAGTCTCAAGATTTCGACTTGCCTGGCCTACAAAGTTTCTCGCATGACCAGATTTTCTTCTTGAAATGGGCACAAAATTGGTGTGACGTATCGTCTTCGAAGGTGTACGACGTTTACCTGCTTGGAGCCGATGTGCACTCTCCAGGCTTCGCTCGCATCAAGGGGCCCTTGGACAACTCCAAGGACTTTCGCAGCGTTTTCAACTGCCCTCAGAGACAGCCTACGTGTGAACTTTGGTAGAAATCACGTGGAGCCACTAGATGCCGATAGCCTCGATCTCCTGAGGGAGGAGTATCGCCGGCATTTGATGCTGCCGGGCTGTGATGTTGGGGACTCCGCCCCTTGCTCGCATTTCCGAGCCTGTACGCATCATAGATTAAATCAAGAATCCTTAACTGCCTCCGAGCCATGCATGAGTAATCTTCCATGTTGTAGTTCTCGGCCATCTTGCGTTCCTTTCTGGAAGTCAAAGTACAGGCATCTGTCAACGCAAGGAAGCGCGCACTAGTATGAGCGACATTCAACGTCGACTCGAACGGTGATCTCAGCATCTGTAGGAAGGTATACTTACATTAGTGTAGATATCGAATCATCCTATTGCGGCTCATTTGCCATGATTTCCGGTATGGCAGAAAGATTCGGCGCCTCAAAAAGGGTCGATTCCTGATGTGTCCATCGCCAAAATTGGATACCGAGCACAGCACTCGTCCCGGAACACGGCCCCACTCTCGTCCGGATCGGCACCGGCTGTGACGGAGGGAAATAAACGATGCCCCAGCCCTTGATATACAAGCATCCGTACGGATGCTACTCTATCGATCGTCAGACTCCAATGCAGTCACCAAAAGGCACCAGAAACAACGTACATCTGCCAGAATGAGAAAATAAACTTGATCACGTATCAAGAATATCTCATCTTGGCACTCGGGGGACAAAGCAAATGGCCGCCTGTCCATGAATGATTCGTCAAAAAGTGGCCTTTTATCTTATTCCCCAAGTAAGTGGCCCATGTTGCTTTTGGTGAAATTGGTCGTCGTGTTGGAATCGGACCGCGATGGCGTTGGCCAACCGAGGCTGCGCCTCTTACTTGCATAATAATCCCAGATGTCCACCCACCGACGCGCTTGCCCACGCGACCGTACTCCGTACCTCTACTTCAGATAACCTTCGGTCGATTCTCTTCCATTCAATTGACAATCGATCTCGAATCATCACACATCTCGATGCCCGCATTGTGACCACACGACGAGTTGAAAGCGGCATCCGTGGTTTGTGGCCGCACTGTAGCCGTGGTAGTTCGTACAGAGGTTCCTGGAGGGCACTTGTGGTGTCTCAACTAATCGGTGTCATTGCAGCTCGCTCCATCAACTTCGACGCTCGATTCATCTTCGCATTAAGGTGCAAGGATTTACAATGCCGAGTAATGAGCTATCGGCGGAGCTATGGCTGTTCGTCAGCAGCTACCTCTCGCAGTCCGACGCGGCACGTCTGATACGGGTCAACCAGAGACTTCACGACATCCTCGAACACGACTTGTATATGAAGAGTATAAGCGACGACGATTCGGATTGCGTCACCCACGCCTTGATGACTGGAAATCTCGATATGCTCAAACGCGCTCATCGCTTCGGCGCAGATATCGCCAAAGCGTATCCTGTGGCAGTGCTGGGATAAGAAGAACCACCACCATCAGATCCCATGGACCGCTACTTCCAACGTCGTATAGGTTGTGGTATGAGCTATTTGAACCTCGATAGGATGACGACTTGGGGTACGCCGCTGTACCAAGCTGCTGCAGGAGGTAACTTGACGATGGTCAAGTGGCTTCTAGAGCAGAAAGTCGACGTTGATGGCCCCGGAAGAAGCGTGTGCCATTGTATGCCGATCGGTAAGAGGGCATCGGGCCGATTCGCCCGCTCGTTCTCCGCCTCCTACCGTCCTGCCTATACATTTTCTACATATAGCCCTCTGCCAACGATACGGCGCCATTGCTCGCCTCCTGCTCTCTGCCGGAGCCTCTCTGGTGACTCAGGTATAGGGTGAGTACGCCATGAAGAGGTCTCCTTTCTGGGACCCGGAATTGGGTGCGGAAACAAGTCTATTCGCCCCGTACACCAGCGGGACGAAGGTCTGGGGTCTTGACGCGTTGGAAAGTTCAAGGCCCCTTAATGCGCTGCACGACGCTGCTCGTGCAGGGAACTTGGAGATGATAACCTATCTCGTCGAGGACCGCGGCATTCCGGTGGACAGCTCGGATGAGTTGGGCGCTACGCCAATTTACTACGCCTGCGAGTACCATCCCTCCAGCCACAATCCACACAAGGAACAGGAAGTTGTGTCGCATCTGCTGAGCCTTGGGGCGAAGGTGCAGATAAGGTTCTCGTCCTCTCTTGACGATTCAAGTCTAGTTGATGTCGACACTGCACTCGATTATGCCATTATCAGAGGTAATATCGAGGCCGCCAAGCGGCTTGCGATGGTAGAGGACTGCCTTTGGTTTATCCCTTATGGATGCAGCGGTCCCAGGCTTTCACTGCTAAGGCGGTTGTTTACGCCGTCGGGCGATGCACACGAAAATTACTGGGATCTGACGCTCGACTCGCTCGCCGCAATCAGCGAAGACCTCATCCGGCAGACCAAACAGACGCACCGGCCGGAATATGCTGCGCTTCAATATGAACTCCAGTCGACCTTTCTCCTCGTCTGTCAGCTCTCCTGCAAGCTAGATCGCGACTGTGTGGACATTCTCCGCCCCTTGGTGGAAGCATTGGATCTGGACGACGCAGTGACTCTCCAGCAGGCTCCCCCCTCCTTGGACTTCATAAGATGGAGCTATCTGGAACGAAAAGACTTATGGGGCGCAGCCTGTCCCCCTATGATGCATTACGACAAAGAGCGTCACGAGTTATCGGGCTCTTCTCTCGGCATGCTCGCTCTCTGTGTCACGATTGGTGCGATGGACTGGGAACATCAGAAGCGGGCCTTGACGACCTTGGATAGGCTGATGACCTGGGGCGCCAATCCGATCGGCATGCGGGACACCGATCCGGACCCGTCTCTCACCCCGTTCGTCTACTTGATGAAGAAGCTCATGGTGAGCAACTTGCGAGAAAACGAGCCGCTTCCCGCTCCGCTAGGCTCAGTCGGCCCCCTTTATCCGACTTCTTGCGCAAGAGGGAGCGTGGTTCCCATCCGGAAAGGATGATCTCAAAGGGGTTGCTCGGGTGTACGAAGCCTGGGAGGTTTTTGTTCGCGACTTACATGAGAGACCGGACATCACGCCGGAGTGGGCTCTTGCCATTTGCGATGACTTTGATGACTGGTCTGAGAGGCCCAAGGTTGAGAAGATGTTGAGGCAACACGGGCTTATCGAAGAAGATGATTACGTCGAAGAGGAAGACAGCGACTATAAAGAGAGTAAAGAGGGGGATGAAGACGAGAACGAAGAGGAGAACGCAGAGGAGGATCTTGAAAGGGGCATAGATGAGGATGAAGTGGAGGATGCACATGAGCACAAAGAGGAGTGTGTGTATGAGTATGAAGCTGAGGAATTGGAGGATAGCGAGCTTGAAGCATTCTCCGAATCGGAATTAGGAGATGAAGACGATGACCAGGATGAGGAGGTTTTGGATGAGTATATGGCTGAAGGGAGGGTGTGGGTGAGGTTAGAGGAGAGGTTGCGGAGAGTGATATGATCACAGACATGAGCCTCTAAGACATCGATGGACGTGGATCTGAGCTTGGACGAGATTGTGGCCACGGGCACCCCTCTCAACGGCGTGAATAGAAGCTGAAATGAGATGTACGATTAAGTCGAAGACGATACCCGTGCACACATGGTTCTAATAGTTGAAGTCCTCGAAAATGAGATGGCTTTCAAAGTAGTAGAGGAAGCAACTTGATCTTTTCTTCAACTCTGACGCAAACGCACGCAAGGGCAAATTTCCAAGTAACGCTCAAAATGACTTGATATCTCATTCAAAAGTGGCAGGTTCATATCAGACCTGTCATAAAAATTACACAAAACCCGCTGAACGCCATGAGACCCACGCCCGATCATGGCGCCGCATGCTGAGCTTGATCCCTGATAGATCCTCAAAATTGATACTCTCTGTCAGGGCATGCCCCGAATTAGCCTGACGTCCTCGTCGTAATTGATAGCTAAGATGAGGCCATGGATATCAATCCATCCCATCTCAGAAAGCAGATGCCTCCTCCATCTCTCTGGTATACAACACCCCTTCAATCTCAGGCGTCCACTTCATCGCCTTCCTAACCTTCTCAAGTGCCGCCCTCAACTCCCCCCACGTCCAAAACTCATCCATCAACCCATGCGCCTCGGCATATAAACTCGGCAGGCGGTACTCATCCTCTGCAGGACCCAACAACCTCACAATCCCGCCATTACCAACTTCTTCCTCCGGTTGTGGTAGCGGCTTAAATTCGACGAAGACGGACAACCTCCTCACATCGGTGAAACAGCGCGAACAAGCCCGCAGCGCCTCCGCGATACGCCGCTCATCGAGGAGAACAGACCAGTGAATTCCAACATTCTCGATGCCCGGTTTCGTGGTCCACAGCGAATCCCACGCGCCGAGGCGTCTGCGGTAGACGAGCGGTGGGAGGTAGATGATATCCGAAGACGGGACGAATTCCAGGGGCGGTGGCGACGGGCGGGAATCCTTTTGGATGTCGTACGGGTGCGGGAAGGGCCGGAAGAGGGCGCGGGTTGCTTTTCGCGATTCGGCGTTTGTGAGGAGGCCGGCGGCGCGTGGGTGGCGGTACTCGTGGGGAGGCTTGATGAGGTGGGTGTCTTCTCTGTATTCGAAGACGCGGGGTTGTGAGCCAAAGGTTTCCCAGATGAGGAGGCGGAGTTCGAGGGGGAGTGTCAGGAACGGATGACAGCTTTGCGGGGATGAGGGATGTGGCGATGTCATTGTTGGCTGTGAAGATGTGAGGATGGCGTTTGTTGTTGACATTATGAGGTTGCGTTTGCAGCGGCCGTGTAGGTTAAACTAATCGGCCACTGTTCCCGTATCGTTCTGCGCTTTCTTAATTACTGGTTCGTTTCAGTCGCGTGAGATGGTAGTCTACGACTTTGAAGATGTTTGTGAGTCGATGGCAATTCGTTTTCTGACGTATGTAACCGCGAAGTGAGATAAGACGAGATGAGATGAGGTGAGATGGGACGGAAAGAGACGACAGGACGTCAGCCTTTTCAGCTCTCCGGACATCGGGCGGCTGAAGTATGTTGGCCGCCCCGTCAACCCGTCAACGGGAATGCCTGCATCGACGGCCCTAGCGGCGGGAACGTGGTCTTACTTTGGCAGCCATTAGCAATTGGCCCTCGGCTTGAGGAAAAAGTCTCTCGTGGTAAAATAAATTACTGCACCCTGGGATGGAGGGATCTCCTGTCATGACGTCGGATGGTTTTTGGCCCAATGAACCAGCGTGGACTACGTGGTAAACCTCTTACCGCCTGGTGCTATGCACCATCCGGGAAAAACGGGTTGAACCTTGTCAGTTTGTCCTGCATCATGAAACTTTGAGCGATGGGCATGATTTTCTTATCCGCATGTTATTCCCAGATTTCTTTCTGAAGACTAGCATGCGAATGTAGCGTTGCGACTAGAGAATATGTCGTAGTCAAAAGACTAGAATGACTAAATGAGCTGAGCTCATCTGGAAGATCCGGTATGCAGGGCGGCACTTGCTCCGACGCCGAGAAAGCTTGAAAAAACAACAACGAAAAGACCCTTCGTCAACGTTGCGTGATCGGGCCTGGATTCTCTCGCAACAATCAAGGCTTGTTCTCCACCGGTGCCCGCTCATCCCTTGAGTCGGTCGCAGTCCGTGACTAGTGTCCGGTGGCGTGACCGGAGGGATGCCCCGCCCCATGCAGCATCGTGCCGTCACTCACCTACGAAGGAAGCACTTCCAAAGTCCCAACATGGTTATCTGGCGAGGGATTATCTCGTTGATTGCGGCAATCAAACTCACAAACTTACCCAGCAGCTCCTAGCATGTTTACTCATTCGCGTTTACTCATCAGTGAGGGAGATTTGGCGTGCTCGCCTTATCTCTTTTGAACCGGGCAGGGTTCAATTGAGTTCACTGGCGCAAAAAAATGTCGGGAAAAAACGAAAGCTTGGGTGGGAGGAGCCATTGACCGCGGCGGCGGCGCGGTGCGGGTCATCGGCGACGTGGGTATCTTCCGCCGGGTGGGTCACCAGCGGCGTGCGAGACCGGCGTGGCCTACCTGTGACAGCATGTAAAGCATCACCACCGTCTTTTCTCCATAAAAAACCACTGTACGATCTGCAATTTAGAAAAGGCGTCGTTGAGCGGTATCTCCGAGTTAGAAAAAGGGCGCGGGAACGCGCTGTCTCTCGCGTATCAGGAAGATTGCTAGTCTTCGTTCTCAGGAGAAGAACCTGCCAGTATACGCTTCTGGCCTCTTTCCAATGTACGGAATTTGCTCGAGCGTATCTTAACATATCAGACGTCGGTCCGAGTTGAATAAAGCACTTACATCGGAGAACTGGGTGGCCCGCAGGAGTGGGTCCAGAAGACGGGAGCCTATGCTGGCGGGGCCAGTCTTCCGGCCAGATGCCGGGGCCGAGTCTCAACGGCGGGCGAGATAGTCACATGAAGAACACCTTATCAAGTATGTTTCTCCAGCTTCGCAATATTCTCTTGCACCAAAACCTTGACAAGGGAAGCAAAAGAGACGGAGAAAGGTTAAACTATCTCCATTCCCCTTCCAGGTTCCCGTTGGTGGTCACCCTGATGACTTGCACTGAAGGATATGATTCCGCTTATATATATATATATATATCATCTTCTTTTTATTTTCTCGGAAAAGTTTCATCAACCCTAGCAACTCAAACAAAAACCTCGAATTGATTGCATCGATCGTCTTCCCATACCACTCATCACAGCACATATCCTTCACCTACAACCACCATGACGCCGACTACATCGCGCGTGGAGTTTCCTGCCGAAACCTGGCTTCACGTCTGCCAAGTTTCTAGAAAGTGTCGACGTCGCCGCCCTCGCTCAAGTCAGCATCGGATTCCACAGGAATCTTCAGAAAGAAGTATACCTCACAGCGATGCGCGATGGCAACACCGACATCATCACCAGGAGCGCCGCGACAGGCAACCTGGCCACTCTCCAGCGCATAGCATCGCACGGCGCCGACATGAACAAGATCTATTCAGTAGATGCCCCCCAGCATCTCAAAGACTGGATGGAAATGCAGCGGAAGTGGGACAGCAAGATTTCAGGCGGGCAAGGTGTCGAGGTCGCGCTCTCGAAAGCCTGCTTCGCGACGCCCTTGCACCTCGCCGCGAAGGGCGGGCACTACGATACCGTCCAGTGGCTCCTGGGGCAGCACTCCGTCGACATGGAAATGCCGGCGAGGTTTATGTGTCAGTGTATTCCCCCAGGTACCTGTCAGGATCTCGCGATTCGCCTCTTGATGGGGCAAGCCGTACCGGCCTGGAGGCCCCTACACATTGCCATCTGCCACCACCAAGTATCCGTCGCCCGCCTACTGCTTTCCCGCGGCGCTTCGTCTCGAAGCGTAAACGTGGGCCGGTCAAAGTTTCCTCGCTTCAACCAGGTCTTCTCCAGTTACTGGTGGGGTTTGGATCCGAACGATTACGTAGGTCCGGCGGTGGTTTCCGCGCTCCAATCCGCCGCGTTTTCTGGCAACAAGCCCATCATTACGGAGCTCGTCCAGCGCATGGGAGTGGACGTTGACGAAAGAGTGGAAGAAGGCGGTGCGACGCCACTCTACTATGCTTTAGCGGCATATAATGCGCAATCGGTGGCTCTCTTGCGAAGCCTCGGGGCGAAGCCGGAGCAGTTCTTCGTGTCGGACGCGTGTAATGTCAATTACGAAAACGCTCTCGAATTCGTTCTTGCCATTGAGAAGACCGATCCTATAATCAACATTTTCGAATTCTCTTCGGCCGTGGCAAAGTCAGATGCTACACATTGTCTCTTTTCAGAACCAGGAGCGGCCTGGTGCTGCCCTACAGGAGGCGACAAAAAGGTCGTCTCGAAACTGAGACAATTACTCTTAAAGGCAAGGTCCCAGCATTGGACCAAGGATTATTACAATCCTCTGGCACCGGGTCTAAATAAGATGATGTAGAGTCTCTTGCGGTATACCAAAGAGCAACATGAACCACACTTTGTGCCTCTTGACCAAGAGATGCTCGATTGCTTCTTGATTGCATGCCAATGCAGTGGTCCAGTGCTGAAGACTTCCACCCTTAACAGATTTTTGTTGGATACAAACGTTGATCTCCAAAAGATTGTCGATGGTCAGCTTGGGTCTCAAGTTACAGAATACTTCTACACCAACGACGCCGAGCCCTTCGTTCACTCAGACATAGACGCCGAGGATGATGGTTCCGGCGTCACAACCTGCACCATTGGCATGCTCGCGCTGCACGCGACGATCGCCGCTTTCCAACCCCGACCCTTCCTCAGAAAATACGACGGAGGCAATGAAGCATTAATTCGTACCATCAAATGGCTGATCACGGAAGGAGCTTCCCAAACTGTGACACCTGGCATGGATCCGAAATGGAGTCCGCTTCGTCACTTTGTTCGACACTATCACGGAAACTTGGCCGCGGAACTGTGTGACAACGGCTTTTCAGGGTGGTAAAATGGCTGAAGAATTAGCCAACGTCATCAAGGTCCTTGGGGATGGTGGCGGATGGTTTCCCTTGGGGGAGGAGGATGATGAGGGCACGTCGAGTGTGCGTTACCAATTGTAGCATATAAGAGGGAATACGTGATTACAAAGGCTCGCAATGATATTGAGAGCTGTATGCCGCCCAGAGTTCTTGAGGTCTGGAAGACCTTGAATTCTTGAGGCGGTTCTTAAGACGTTGGGATGGTTCCTTTCTACGTACCTGCGTACCTGCAAGACAGTATATAAAAAGTAGTGTATAGTTGGATCGCACCTTCGTTTCGCAGTTGAAACTCGGACGTTGGTATCCAAAGCAAGTCTAGACTCTAGTGTCGGCCCTGGAAGCTCTAGTCACGCTTCCCCTAGTCCCTTCAAGCCTACTAACCTAGCTTCAACCTTTTCGAGACCGCTTCCGCCCGCGCCCGCGCCTGGACAGTAAACGGGCAAAAACGCCTCTCCCATACGCCTCCTCTCTTTCCAAAGAAACAACGCCGGCGTCCGGATGTAGTGTCACAAACATACTTCGGAGCCGGTTGGGCGTTTCTGACATCTCAGATCGTCGTCCAGTTCATCCAATGGCGTCTGAGAAGCTCGATCTGACGTTGGCCGCCACCGGAGCAGTTCATCGCACCGCCGCCAGTGCTCTTATCCACACAATTCGGAAAGAGGGTGCCCCTGAGACTAGCTGGTCGAACCAGATCTTCAACCTGATATCGAATCATCGCTTCTCATAACACCATGGCAACCACACCCATTGACGATCAGTCAGGACTCTATCTTGTAGCAATCTCGGGAATAGCTTCCTTCCCCCACAGACCACGAACGTCCAAGCACGCCATCCACGCCATCCACGCCATCCTACCTCGCCTCGAGAGCCGGACCATCGGTCCCGATCTCTTCAACGTCTGAGCGCTGGCTTGGAGGGCATGCTGCAGCCGTGGCAGTGTCAAGAGCATGTCAAAAAGCACGCCACCTTCTCGGACGTCTGAACGCGAACATGCAGCTCGGACTCGGGAAACCCCTTGCGATTTAACGAGACTCTACCGAGACATTGAAAAAAGAAATGTCAACAACGATAAACCCGACCAGATGCGTGGTTGAACCAGATATGCCCAAACTCAGGTCCAATACCACCGTCCAACAAATCCAAACCACATTAGAATCCCATCTAAACACAAGCAATGCAACATTCGCCCCGTCATCGATGATATACAACCTGCATTAGCCCTCCCCCTCCCCATGATTCAACTACGAAATACTACTCACTAGTCACTACCACTGCAACCCATCCTTCGGCTTCCATCCGTTATCAAAACCCCGAGAAACACACACAGACACATATACAGAGTATCAGAGACTCCTACCTTACGCACTTAATGCAAGGCAAGCCGCGCGCAAGGTATCGAAATACCGCAGGCAGGAGCAAATATTCATTTCTTTTCCCCTGTGCCCCCTTCCTGCATGTCGCGCCCGCGCCGTCGCCGCAGCCAAGAGTGGTCGTACCTTAGATTGCCCTGTAAGATGCATCCCAAGCCTGCATTGCCAACCAAGACACACATGCGCGCGCGCGCGCGAGCCGCGAGCCGCGAAGCCCGCAACGAGTACGAATAGTTGGCATCATAATCCGTACCACACACTATTCGCCACTGGTTCAACTAGGTGACTAGTAAAAGCCCATCCAGGCGGCGCGTGGCGGGGAGAGGCACGAAAAAAGAAGCCGCAGTCGCGAGTGGTAAGTCAGAGAGAGTCGAGACATGGCACCGGCAACGTCCCGCCGCTCGTGCCGTCCTGCCGCCGTCGCATCCACCCAAGAGACGCGGAAACTCTTTGGTCTTGGCCCACTTCCAAATTCGGTCCAATGATAGTTACCTCACGAAGCAGCTATCAAGTTCAGGTTTCTTTCCCCCGCTCCATTGATATAGAGTCAGGTAAAGGTTTGGCAGGTAGTCAATTACTAACCCGAGGAACCTGCCGTTTTCCTGGTGTTGCCAATGACGTAGATTAAACGCGCAAAAGGCCGAACAGCCACCTTCGCAATCGCCTCCCACCACCCGTAAAAGTTCAAGCCTCGAGAGCTCTCCCCAATCCACTGCAACCCTATCGAAATGGCGCACTGGAAGTTCTGCGAGCAGCAGGGTAGGTATCCGTAGTCATGTAGGCAATATGGTCTTGGATAAGTTCACAAACCCAGGGATGCCATGCCGTGCAGTATCCCGTACACTACGTCCGTACGTACCCGCGTCCCCCCCAAAAAGCCGTACACGCCATTCGCCATCGAATCATGAACGGCCCGGCCAGAGTTTGCCGCTCTCTCTCTCTCTCTCTCTCTGTGAGACTGTCGTCAGAACTACAGCTGACTTCATGTCATGCCCTTAAACTTTCAAAGTTTTGCCTGGCATACTTCACCTTCCATCATCTGGTCTCTAGTAGATAACCAAGCAAAGAGCGGGGGTATAGACTCTCGAAGAAAGAGAAATGAAAGGATCAAGGACCAAGAAAAAAAAAGAAGAAAAAACCAGAAAGAAAAAGAATCCCCCGACGCAACGATAATCAAATCCCATCGGCGCCAAGTTATCCAAACGCTCAACGCCCTCAACTTGGGCTAAACCATCAACTCCACCGCGAACCCACGCCAGCGTACCATTGTACCAAAGCCCCCCCTCCTCTAACCACATGGCGAACGGAGACCTCCTCAATGCCTGACCATGCTTTGCCGTTGCGGGCTTGCGGCGTTGCCTTTTGCCTCCCAGAGTCCCTCCCCGTTGCCAATGGAGTATTAGCAAAAAAGGCCTGGCCCAGACAAGAAATCAAAAAAAAAAAAAAAAATTTTTTGGACCCGGATACTCTCCTCCTCACCCTCCTCCTCTCTCCACCCCCACCCAACCAGCGTCGCGGGAAGTTTTGAAACCAGGGGTTCCCCGGCTGCAAGTGACTACAAATCGCCCGCTGCCAGATGGAATGATGATGCCGGGGACCCAATTGAGAAAGAGGGAAAGGGAAAAAAAAATAAAAAAAATAAAAAAATTGGGACCTGTCAGTGGCCCTACCAGTCCTACCAGAGTCAAGAACCGCCAGGCCTCTCCCATGGGCAATTACTATATGCGCCACGCTGATGGGCTCAGCCCCCAAAAATCAACCCGACTCATGAACTGTCCATGTCAGCCGAAGAAAAATAGCTTTGAGGCATGAAAAAGAGTTCATTAACAAAAAGATCGGATTATTGGAAAAAAAGAAACCAAAGACGAGTCGCGCCGGTAAAGCCGAAGACTGCGTACGCTCGGATTCGTCATGCGGTCATGGGAATGTGGCCTCGGGCCAGAACAGGGGCCCGCGAGTGTGGCTGGGGAAGAAACCCGGATTGAGGTATCATGAGTAATTATTTTCATTATGGATCGAGTCCACTTGCTACGTAAGAGTCCAGGATGGACTAGTTCAGAACCCATCCTCTCCATGCCATGCCTCTGTGAAAGTCGCCTCCAACGCTCGATGCCTATGCCTAGCACCTGAACCGTCTGGATGTGACTAAAATGTCCTTTTTTCGAGCTAAATGACGAAGTCCATGTCGCGAATAGAGGACGACGCCCTCCATGTGGTATCATATCAAAGACGAATCGCAAAATGTGTAAATCCAGCCAAAGAAGAATGTGTCAAGGAATGACGGGGTCGTAATCATCTAATATCCGTTGCACTGATCGCGCGTTTGGTATAAATCAGAAACGGTCGTGTCGGTGTGTTTAAAGTGTGGCGCTGGCGTTGGCGTTGATTAAGGCGTGGCGTCCTCATCGACCAGCGTCTGTAGTGTCATGGGATCCCGGAGGCGTCGCGCCTTGTGAATGGCGACAAGGTAGTCGACGAGGCCTTCAGCATCTGCGCGCAATGCGTCGAGCTCCTCCTTGGTGCACCCGGTTGTTTGGGAGTCCTTGCTCGGGTAGCGGTAGGCGGCGAAGACAATGCCGCGATCGTTCTGGGACACGTCTAGCGGTCCCGGGCTTCGGGGACTCGAGTTCGCGGAGCCTCTTCGGCCAGTGGCCGTGTGAAAGGCGTGGCCATAACCCCGGGCGATCTCGCCCGCCTGCGCATCATCGCTGCGGTATTCCATCCAGCCCTCCTGCTTCAAGATTCTGGACTGAACAGTAGCCGAGATGCGGAAAGGGCTGGTCAGGTTTGACAAGCCGTAGGCGGCAAGCAGACGCCCGGTCATACCGGGAGTTGTGTCCACCATCGGTCCATCCATGGGCCCAAGAAGTGAGTTCCTCATGCTCGAGGGTCGTGATGAGAAATCCATAGAAGAGCGGAACGTGGGTGACGACAACTCTGACGCTCCTTCGGGCCACAAGTTGACGATGTAGACAAGGTCAAACTTGTGCTTGGCCGCAATCTGAGCGACCTGCAGCGCTCCTTCTTTGGCGACGTCGTCAGCATGAATAGATGAGGTTCGTCGCTTTGAACCGACCGATGACACCGTAGAGGCTGGGGTCGGCGGGGAGGGTGGTAGTCGTAAAGGCGCCGGCATGATCGGGGTGTCCGGGGCATCCTCCAACTCTGGCTCCTCCAAGATGTCTTCGTCAGAGAGGTTGAAGAAATCCATGACATCTCCACCCTTGAGGATCTGACTTGGTGAAGTGATGGACCTGTGAGGTCTGGACTGGCCCTGAGGCCGGCGCAAGGCGGCTGCCTTTTCCTCTCTTCGACGTCTTGTCGCTGCTGCAGCTGCCTTTCTCTTGGCCAAGCTCAGCTCTGCAGAGTCCCGGGATCTCATGTCGTTGATGGGCTTCATTTCTGGAGATGCGGCAGGTGTCGGCAAATCTCTGCTGAGAGAAGAAGATGGCCGGCCCTGGGATCCCTTTATGCTTGAGTCGTCCTCGTGGTCCGAGGTAGGTGGGGTGTCGGCTCTGGGAGGGATGATGACAGAGCTGTGGCGGTGCTCGAGGGAAACCTTATGCGTTGTGGGGAGAGTTTTCGGAGAGAAAGTAGCACTAAAAGGCGAAGCCGGGGATGGGGATGTGGGAGGAAAAGGAAAATCGAATCCACGCAAACTTGCCACGGGCTGAGTTTCCCTGCGGTGATTGAGCGACATGGAGCGGGTTGGAAGAGTAAGAGTTGTCGTGCTTGCACTGCTTAGGTGGGAGATGTGTATTGAGATGCGCTCGGACTGATTCTCCGGGAGGCTCTGGGCACGTCTCTCATTTTGCGATGCTACAATGCGCTCTTCTCTAGCCTTCATGCGGGAGACTCGCGGACGGATGAAGGAAGGCTGAGGAAAACTGTGATCTAAACTTGCGGTCCTGGGACCCGATGACTCCATGGTTGGCGTTGATGGGCTCGTTTGGACGGAGAAGTCTTTCCTCCGGGAGAAGAGCTTCTCCAAGCGGTCGAGGCTGGTAGGCATGGTGAAATAGGCCGAGTGACGGCTACTTGTGTGTGTTTGTCTGATCTCCAGAGAGTTTGGTAAGTTCTTCGCGCTCGGATTATGAGTTTGACAGGAGGGCCACTTGGGCGGACGAGGATAAACATACCCGTTATGAGACGTGATTATAAGTAAGTGAACCGCGAGTTGCGGATGGTATGACAAGGAGAGGAGGAAATTTTAGAAATTAATCCTTGTGTGAGAGACGTGTGTGGTCGTCGAGACTGAGGTGTGAGGGAAGGAGCGAGGTAGAGAGTAAAAATGGGAACAAGAGGCCTCGGCCACACTGTTGGGAGCTGACCAAAGTGTGGTCACAGTGAGACAGGACGTTCGGGGGCCACGAAAAGTAGGCAGGAACACCCGGGCAGGAGTAATTGTAGACCAGGAGAGTCCAACAATTGGAGTGAGTCGAGTCTCACCGGATCGGCTGAGTGAATCCAGAACACCAAAGGTGACGCGAGAGTTGTACCGGTAATAGGGCGAAGGGTCAGACACAGGAATGAAGCGGTCCCTCGTCTGCGCGACGTCGGTTGAACGAACTCGAGAGCAATGAGCCGAAGAATGGGCCACACAGAGGCCCTGACTGAGAATGTCGTGAAGGGATTGGCTGAAGGCGGTACTTGTACGATCAAGATTGTACGACTCTTGGGTGAGACAGGTCGTCAAGGTGAGATGGGTCGTAATATATAAAATGGCGGGCACCTGGCTTTTTCTGGGCTTCTAGGTCGTCGTCGACCGAACAGATTGGTTGGGTGGGAATGGGGGGCGTTTTGTAGAATTGTGTTGCCAGAAGGAAAAGGCGAGACACGATATGAGAATAAGAAAGGTGGAAAAGTGGAAAGAGGTACCACAGCGTTCGGTATCAGTCGGGTGGTGTTGTAGGCAAGGGGTGAAGTAAAGGTAAGGTAGCTCAGCCCGAAAGTTGAAGCTGGAGCTGATGGCGAATGTGAGGGTGAGGTGAGGGCGAAATACGAAAGGACCGAGCCGAGGATTGATTAAGTTATAAGGATGCTTATGATGAAAATTGAAAAGTCGACCGAAGATCAGCACAAGACCAAGGGGTGAGGTACTGAGAGCTAAGTAGGGACACGGGCATGAAGAAAAAGGGTCCGGGGAAGTGAAGGCTTTAAGATATGACAGTCGAGGCTGGTTGAAACGCGGCGACGGGACGGGACAAAAAAGACTGAGGTGCTTTTGAGGGTCGAATACCTCTCGAGGCGAGTGAGAGGGTGACGGTGACGGGAGGGTGAGCGTGTGAGGGTGCGCTCAGATGTAGAGGTAGCGTCGGGGTCAGAGATTTGGGTCGAGGGCCAGATCCAGGTCCATGTCCATGTCGAGCTGCAGCAACGCCGGGGAAGGAAAGTGTGGCTGCTGTCTAAGGTCTTGTGTGTGGTCTCTGACACTGTCGAGGTCTACCTTACGGAGTAGGTAGTGTCTCTGACGTGAAAGTATCCGTACGAATACTCCGTACGGTAAGGTAAGCAGGAGAGGAGGTTCTAGCGGGCGTGGGAGCAGGAGTGGACGTGATGACCAGTAGGAGTGGGTGAAGGCGAGGGAACGGGAGGACGAGGGCGTATTGCCCCGCCGTATTAGTGCGAAGAAAGGCGAGGAGTGTGAGCGAAGTTCGAGATGGCTGTCTTGGCTTTGTGGACGAGACACGAAAGGAAGTGCAAAGAGTGAGCGAGAGACGAGAGAGAGAGAGAGAGACGCCAGCGAGGAGACGGGTAGGGAAGAAGCTAGACGGATGGATGAAGCTAAAAAGATACGTACCGAGCAATTCACCTCAAGCCGGTGCCACATGCGTAGTGTACGTACTACGAAGTAGCCATCCCTGGAAAAGCGCAGACCGGGGGTGAGTCCGCGGGCGGGAGAGGCAATTGAAAGTGGGATGGTGGGGTGGGGCGCACCTTTGCGATTTGGAGCAAGGGCAGCACTACCTTACTCCGTACAGCAGGCAAAAGCTCTCTCAGACTCTCTCACTGCTCAGTCAAAGTCGCCTTTTCTTTTTTTTTTATCCTTCCGGCTATGGATGTGGGTGGACATGGTAGAAAAGAGACAGGGCTAGTTTCTCATGTTCTCATGGCCCAACAGGGATTGTGCAGGGTTCTCAGACGTTGTGACTGGATATGTTTCTTGAGGGTGTTCATTTGGGCCTAGCTAATGGCTGACACAATTCGAGGGAAAGAACAACCCAAGGTCGAAGCTACGGATTCTCAGAGGGCAGGAGCGAGCTGCAACACCACTAACAAATCCGGAGGCAGGACCGATCGTGAGAGGCAGCGGCACGGCGCAAGGCAGGAGAGCAGGGCAAGATGAGATGCAGTTCTTGACTGCCCTGCCCTACCTTAATTAGTCTCACCTACCTTAGTACCCCATGCTCAACACCATAGGCACTCCGTACAGCCAATTGACGCCCAAAGGGCACTGTCAAAAGGGAAGAAGAGCGCATAAGCCGATGCAAGGGCAGAAGCATCCAGCTCGCCATGGCATGGCCCTCTTTTTGCTGGTTTTTGTCCCTGTATTCGTCAATTGCTCAAGGTATCCTTCCCGGCGGATCCTCCTACCACTGCGCCTGCACATGGAAGGTATGCATCGTACGGATGTGTAGTTTTACTCCCGTCGGTTCCTACCTGATATGAGAAATGAGGCAAAGACCGCAGAGGGCAAGGACGTTGGAAGAGGACCAAGAGGGAAAGAGCACCAGTGCACGGAACAAGGGTCCTTCGTTCCTTCCCTCCTGCATCTGCAGGTGATGAACCTTTTTTTTTTTTTTCTTCGAGCTTCAGTCCCAACCCCAGCGGTAGTTACCAAGTATTTTTTACTATCGCCGTCTTGACAGTTGACAGTCGACAGTAATTGACTGTTCCCGTCATTTTCACGACAATTCTATCATTTTCGCCCGGACCTACTGGCTCCTTGCCGCTGCACACTCTATGCCTTTTTCGCTGCCTCTTTGATCATTTTGTTTCGTTTCGTTTCGTTTCTTCTTCCACTGCCGGCCAATATGATCGATTCCCTCACAGCGACCTCCCGATCCTTCATCGCTCATCTTCACCCCATCTTCGTCACCTAAAACGAAAACAGGATAAACCAAGTATCTTGACGATACCGGGTCCTCAGTGGTCCCCCAATCTCTAGGCTCTCGAGCCGTCGTCCATGCTAGATCCTCCGAGAGCCAATCACGCCGCCGCTTCGAGGCTGATTTCGGATCCTCTTCCGTCAGTCGCCAGAGTCTCTCTCTCTCTCTCTCTCTCTCTCTCTCTCTCTCTCTCTCTCTCTCTCTCTCTCTCTCTCTCTGTGTAACACAGTGCCCCTGTCAGTATGTATCGAGCAGGTTTGCTTGTCATATGTCAGCGGGGAAGAGCGATATCCATCAGCCACTCCTGCCATCTATCAAACCCATCTCGGCCGTTGCGTCTTGTCTCTAGTCGCAAACTGCCTCAACGCCACCCACCAGAGGTCGATCTTGACAAGATGCGAGACGCATGACATGATATAGCCTCAACTCAAAGACGAACCTGGGGTCTTTGGTACCAATGCCTACGCCGGATCATCGTTTCCCTCCAACCTTGTCACCATGTATACAAATCATTAGGCATTGAACAAGCCTTTTCTTGAACGATTACGCACTCTACCCGCCGTGAAGCAACGCCATGCACGACATTTGGCGAGCCTCTCAGAGACGTTGAGAGTTGGACCCCCGGATTCAGGCACACTTTGGGCAGCTTGAGCCACGCACAAATCGTGCCAGTGCACCACCTACTTTGACTTGATGCCTTGGTGATCGGCCTCTTCACCCCGGCTCCCTACCACGGGAGCTTGGACTTAACGCCGTAAAATATTGACAGCAGCACCCTGTGCAACCGGGTTCGAGCGTCGTCTTCAACACTGGCTGTCACCTTTTCCACTACCTCGTGCCTGTTGATCCCGCAGACACGACTCGCTTTGTCGTCAGAGCGCACATTCATGGCAGATAATTGGCCCATCTGACTGCCAGGGCAACACGACGAACGATTTCGACGCCGACCTGGCAGCCGCGCTACTTCTGTTACCTGTAACCCTCTGAGGGCATCACCGAAAAGATCGCTGCCGCTAATGCGAACACACAAAACTTGTCAACATCAGATGAGTGTCCTCATTGCAGCCACCATAAACGCAGGGCACTGCATCGAGCCAATGAACCAGCACTACGAGGGCGTAAGCAGGCCAGTCGAACGAAGCTTTGCATCCTCTTACACAATGCCCTACCAAGTACGCATACTTCGAGGCTTTCCTGTATCATGTACGGATATCAAGGCCGGGTGGTCGAGTCTTTGTTGTCTCCAACATGGCAACGTCAAGTCGACCAGAGAAAATCCACCGGGATGCTACCCTGGCATCGGAAGCATCCCAATTCTGTCAACGTCCCAACACGCAATTTACCCTCCGGCGCTGCTTTTCCCCGACTGGATGTCAAGAATTGGGCCATCGGCAGCGTCTCCATATCAAATCTTCCCTCAGCTCCGCTTCCGAGCCGGGACGTTGTCATAAACCTTCATCGCTGAATGCAGTCACGAACTTTCCTCCTAGCCTCCTGGTTGACAGCCCAGCCACCAATGGCTTGGATTTCTTGACGAGACGATACTACGGCCGCGAAACGTCCCGGCCGCAGGGTCCAGACTTACTTCAGATCCAAGAGCTTGATCGGCTTGAGCAAACGCCCCTTTCTCTAGTCAGAGATCCTTGCTCCGACGAGTCCCTGGATTTCTAGTCGTTCGTCGGAACGGGCACAGCCAACCGCTCTTGTCACAGAAAGCTCTCAATTTTTTTTTTGCTTTTAAACGTCTGTTCGACCAAGCTTGAAGCCACCCCGCTCGCAGACCGGCCCGTGACACCAGCGACCTTCAGCCACGAAGCCATATCCATGTCGCGAATGCGGGTCTAGGGAGGATTGCCAAACGCAAGGGGCAGCGCAGCTTGACCAGCGTCTTGCGCAAGGGGTTCGTCAACACCAATGGTCAGAGAGGCCTAGAACAGGTGTCGCTGAAGCAACTTCTGCTCGCAAAGCCCGATTGGAAGACTCTTCAAGAACTCGCAACTCTTTGGCTGACTGGGATTC